GGGTTAAAGGCGGACTTGGGTTCCCCCAAATGGCTAACCGAATGCAATTGCTACCGATTCCGTGCCCCTCGCCGGTGGAAGCGCCATGCCAGTGAATCGGACGCGGGCCACATGCGGCAACTGGGAAGTTGCAACCTGCAACTGCTGCAAGTCGCGCTTCGCTTTTGACTATATCATTAGAAGCATCATTAGAATCACTTGGCAGCGACTTGGCTGCGGGCAACGCCTCGAGTGGATTTTTGCTGCTGCATAATAATTGTTGAGCTCGCCTCATCGCGCGATGCCTGAATGTTGCAGGTTGAATGTAGCAGACTGCCGGTTGCCGGTTGCAAGTTGCCGTTTGCCTTTTGCCGTTTGGTTTGCTTTGCAGATTCCTATTTTTCGGTTTGCTGCCTGTCGATTTTTAGTCGTTGTTTGCCTTTTAGCTTCGTTCCCTTCGCTGGGCACTGCTTTTTTGATTAGCGCTTTCCAAGAAAAGCAAGAAATTAGCCAGAGAGCAAGAGTGAGATCCCCCACCTTCTATCTCTAAGCTTTAACTTAACGATAGAATTTACCTTGGACTTATGACTGCCTTAACTTATAGGGTATTTACAGGTAATATTAATATTTATCAAGACATCAACTTAAGATTAAACAGGAAATCTTATGAATTCCTGAGTTAAAGCAAAGAACAAATAAATTGTCCTATACCTGAATTTGAATCTAATAAGTTAAATTTAGTTGGTTGTTGAACCTGTTCAATAAAAGCTACATTTGCTCAAATTATTCTTAATTTTATTATTTATTATTTATCTGCTTTAAATCTAAGCCAGCAAGTACAAGGCATGCTAGTACCGGGTATCTTCAAGTCGGAAAACTCTCATATGGCGTGTTAACAATGCTTCTTTTTTAGTTACTTCCATTGTTTGGCCCTGGCTTCCGGGGCCATTCGCAGTATCATTTTAACACGTTCGAAATGAGTCTAAGACTTGCATTTATTGCTTATTATGCTGCGCTTTTCTTTTCTAATCTACATCGGCGTCTGCTCTGTTTTAAACCTCGCTGGAGACTCTGTCTGAATTTCTGTTTTTCTGTTTTTTTTTTCAGCATCAGCTATAATTTTCGCTATGGGAACAGGCAGTTCTCAAAGCCACACACATGCCACAAATTGCGCCACGTAGCTGCCATTTAGTTGAATGATCTAAGGCAATTGACAATTGCTATAAAAATGATCAGATCATTCTAAAAACGGCGAAATTCTCACCAGCCATGTGATTCACGGGAAAATATGTTTATAAGCATCAAGCATATATGCTTACAAATTGGTTTTTTAGTTTTAAAATAAACCATTTTGTAATGATTTCTACTATGATCCCACTGGTACAGATTAGTCGTAAAATCGAAATAAAGAATATTCAAACTGATAACAGAACACAAAACTTTCGGGTAATTGCTGTGTAAATTTTTGTTTCAACATATTTGTCTTAATTTAAAGTTTACTTTTTTAGGTAATTTGAATATTAATGTACTTCTCTAATGCATGATTATCATGCTATAAAATGTGTTGATCTTCGGAAATTACACAAAAACTTACATTGCTGAAAGCTTTCATTTTCATGTGCTAATAAATTGTATTGAAAGAACTGGTGGTTGGTTTTATGGTGTGAGCCAGCAGCATGCCTTGACATTAAACCCCATCAGTCTTGGGGCTTGAACTTCATTAAATGACGGTGATGAGGTGACTCTGGGAACCGCATTTAAGAGCGAGTGCCGAGTGCAATGACTTCCTGCACCGCACAGCTGCAGTTTTGCCTTCTGCGGCTGCGGCTTCGCTTATCGAGCGCCCAACCGCCAACGCATTTGACAACATTTGTTTCCTCATTACTCGTATACCTCGTATAGCTCGTATAGCTGGGGATTTCACCAACCGAGTTGAATGTTAATTGCGCGATGCTGCGAGGAAGCATCTCTGCGGCATCTCCGTCGTGCAAAAGAAAGTGAAATGGAAATGGAAATGGAAATGGGAAGCGTGGAAAGTCGACAAGAGGGAAGATGTCTGCCCAACTACCACAGGGTTCACAATCGGTCAGCTGGTGTTGTTTTTCAGTTTTTAGTTTTCCCGCATTTCAGCATTTCTGCAGGAGGTGCCTGCTGCTCGGTGCTCGGTGCCCTGGGGTCAACCGAATAATTTGAACGGTCAACGAGTGTGGAAGAGTTGGAAACGATCGTTATGTGACGTTAATGCTGATGAGGCTGATGAGCAGGAAGAGGCGACAAATGTTTGAGGAAATCAGCGTTGACGAATGGCACGAATACTTCCTCGAATCGAAAGTTGATGCATGAATTATGTTTTATGTTTCTTATAGAGTCATTTCTGAAATTTATAACATTCTTTAAATTATTATTTTTAAAAGTTTAATAAATTGATTAAAGAATTTAAAAATTGTAATAAAAGTTTTTTTTGATTGCTAATAAGCTCTTTTTGATTATATTAAGGCCTAATTTTTCAAATTAAAATTAAATTACATTTTCGCATCTTTCCCGCCACAAGTTCATTATAAATTCAACCTCAAAACGAGAGGTGAAAAATCTGGCTAGTGTGCTTCTGTGAGTTTGTGTGTTTTTGAATTTAGTGCTAATGCGTACAAGAAAGAGGCGTAACAACCGAAAAAATAATAAAGTGCTAATAATTTCTGTGCAAAATTATGTGGCCCCGACATAAATGTTCCCCTGGGCATAGCTAAGTTCGCTAGCCGAAAGCACAGTCAAAGCATAAACAAACAAGAAAGGCAATCTGATCTTAGGTATATAAAAACGGTTTTTTACTCCTTAAGAATCGTTGCCTTTTTTTTTTAATATTTAAGTTTTTAATAAAGTCAATTTAATAACTTTTACTTTAATATTTTTAGTTTAGTTTAAAATGGAAAATGGAATTATTGGCAATGATTCGAAATTACCAAAAGAATACCCTGGAAAGTTTTTGGGGCTTAAATTAAAGCAATTTGCATTTATTTCTTTTCCTCCGCCCCAACGCAAATTGCTGGCCATATTTACCCTAAATTTTGGTTTATCTGTTATTGCTTTTGTTTTTCTTTTTTGTGGCCTAAAGCTTTTACCATTGTAAAGAGATTGGTTGGGGCATCTGACAGATACACGCGCGTAATTAAGTTGGAATACATAAACAATAAAAAAAAACTACTGCCAAATTGCCTCCCACCCTCCGTTCGTTCGTGGGACGAAGGTTGGCCAAAATAAATCAGCTAACAAGACCGAACAGCAATTAAACCAAAGCAAAATCAAATTTTTTGTTTATGATTTTGTAAATATTTGTGGGCTGCTTGATTCGTCGGAGGGGATATGTCCATTTAGCTGCCTATGATAATTACGCATAAATATTTAGTGTGATTTCTTTTCTCGGTATCTTTTTTGTGTCAAGGATAAGCGGAACCACTGCCAGATAATGGGGTTTTTGGTGGATGCGCTTTGATTGATTGATTGATCCGTCTACACGGGGCCAAAAAAAAGACAAGATGCGAAAGAAATATGATGTCTTAATGGGCGTTTAATTTGTCTTTTGATTCGTGTGCATCTCTTTGATCCGATGGTGTGCCACCAACCGAGATTGGACTTTAAAATCAAAGAGAACGAACAGATATGTTTCCTATCCCAAAAAGTATTTTTAATGAATCAAAAATTAATTTAATATGAAGCTAATAATATCGAACAAGTTTAAGAAATACTATGGAATATTTTAAAAAACTAAAAAATATATTTAATTAATTTAAAAAGTATTTTATAATGCCGTGTTTTAATTTGTTTTATAAAATGTTGTAAATAGAGACAGGGAAATATATCCCCAGCTTAGGACTCATTGGAGACTGTGGCAAACCAAGCATGGGAGCAATTACCACGTGGAACCTTTCGCTTACCCCAACCCATCCCCTGTCCTTCCCTTCTCCGGTATTGGCTAGTGGAATTGCGGGGTAATTTGCAAACGCACCACAGTCCAAGCCCAAGACGCTGGTCAGCAATGACGACCTTAATTAGCGGGCAGAAGACAGCCGAAGAGGAATCAAAGCCAAGAACAACAGAGCAAGTAATAGGCAAAACGCACATAGGAGTTTGGCAAGGGAGGGGGCAGGTATGGTGGGGTAAGTGAAGCGTTCATCGAGTAGAAGGGCGCACCGCGAATTCTAGGAAACCAATTAATGCGCCACTCGGAGTCACATTGGTTTGAGATCAACGGTAAATGTTAAAATTAAAAAATAGAATCGAAAAATTGTTAAAGAAAACTGAATGAAAACATATTTTATTTGGGGCTGCCTAAGTTTTATGTTCTTATAATTTAATTTACGGTTTAATTATTTTGGAAAATTATTATCATGAATGTTCGCTTAACACTCTTAAAGTTAATATGTTGCATCTGATAGAGCTCCCTGGTTTATGTTAACGTAAGGCTCTGGTGTATTTTGCTGGACTGTGAAAAGGTTTTTCACAATTTTGTACAATTTTTTTGAAAAAATTCGATAGGGCATCGTTAACTTGGCCCTCCTTAACACATGTCCCTAGATGGATGCCCACCAAAACGATCACCAAAACGAACTGCAAAAATAATTTCTATTATTCCGGAAATTATTTACATATTTTAAATTTGAACTCACCAAATACTTCATTACGACTGGCTGGCTGTTTCGAATGAACTAATTTTGGAAACAGATTCGTATTTATAGGCCAATTCATGTGACTAAATAATACTCAGAATACTTAAAATTTCTGACAGACATTTCGTTTTTATGTTTTGATAATAAAAACATTTATTCTCTGGAATGTAATAAATTTTTTGAATAAGAAATGGGATTTGCCCTGAACACTGTTATCATTATCATTTTAGGCAATCGTGCATGGAAATATTTTCTCATTTCTTTAAAAAGAAGTCCACATTTTATTTATTCTCCCAATTAATCTCATAGAAAATCACATATTTATAAATATTTGTATAACTTTTATAAAACCTTTTATTTTTAATTTTTTGGCTTGATCTTTAAGTCTATGATTTCATATTTTGAGACCCCAACAGTTGGTCTGCCATCATTTTTTCCCGTTGACCGCCAACGTAGGGATCTCCGCCATAATTCCCATTATCACTTTGCTGTCCATAACCCCGGTGAAGCTTTATTCCTTCGTTGACGACGTCACTAATAAATCCGAATAGTTTGTCTAGGTTTACCCCTTGAGATCCATCAAAAAAGGTGGGAAGTGTATTGCACAGTTGGAATCCCCAGAGTACACAAATTAAACCTTTCTACGAATTGATTCAAAAATAAGAAACAAAAATTCGTTGCAATCTTTTGAATGCCACTCACCAACAACTTCATCGTAAATGTGATTTTAAAATGACTTTACTTTTATGTATAAGTCTTATTTATAGGTTCTGACATGCCACTTAAATAAAAAGTGCATTGCTATCAGGGACAAAAGTGTGTAAAATGGGGGTACACCAATTTAAATATTATTTTTCATGAAATACTTAATAATTTAAAGTTTGTACCTAATAAGTTTTTACTTAATAATTTAAATACATTTTTTTAACAATTTAAATTTGACATCAAGTCCAAATAAATATATAAAAAACCATAAATGTTTCGTTTGGAATATCCTATACGCCACTGAATTCGATGCTATCAGTAATCATTCTTATGCAACAACAGTGGAGGTTTTTTCACCCCACTTTGATGGAATACGAAACAAAAACAAAAGATTTCCCTATCAGCAAAATGATTATAGACGACTTTTTGTTGTGATTGCTTGAGTTATTTTTATTCCCTTGTTGAGAGTCATTAAAAGTATACGCATATTTTCTTAATCAAAATTATTTTTGGGGCAGTATGAAAAATATTTCAAAAGTATATACTTCATGTAACCGAGTAAAAAAACGAAATCAAATTTCATTTTTACTTTACTTTAAAGATCTTAGTTACTCACTGTGCAAAGGGAACTTGATGGACCCCGCACATCAATTGAGATATTATGAAATCCACTGCACTCCCCGTTTTCCACCTGCGAGTGCGTGCGGTCCGCGTTCGCTAATAGAGACGCATCCATATACACATATATGTGTATATTGCACATCCTTCTGGACCTCGCGCTGAGCTCAACGGACCCGAGCTGGGGGAAGTGAACTGAACTGATCTGAGCAGAACTGAGCCGGCATCGCATAGCATTTGCCTTGTTAATGATGTGCCGTGCGCGCATTTAAATAAAGTGCCGCCCATTATAATGAGCGGAGTGCACAGCGTCCCAGCGTCTTTAGCTTCTTCACTGCCTGCCGGATACACAGGAATAAACTTCTAATCAAATACGTAGCAGTCGTAAAAATTAAAAAATAAATAATTTAGTACTATGTTAATTTATGAAAATCTTAGATAATTTTTTTTTAATTTGCCCCGTTCTGACCTAGGTTTTGGCTGCAGTCTTACCCTCCAATGTTCAACATAATTATATTTTAGTTAAATCTCTAGTAAAATTCTTTTTTTTTAACGTCTTATAAACTTTAAAAAATTTTATTTTTTAAATTTTTAGATGCTAAAAACAATTTTATAAATCATAACTTTTATTTCAGATAATAATAGAAAATGATCGCAGTGTATTCCCTTACCATCCTCATGCAGCCATCATTGTCGACATCTCAATCTCAACGTCATAAAGGAGCGGCAAGCCCCCTTTCCTCCAATTCCTGGCCTACGCATTTGTGTCCGTTTGTTGGCCCTGTTCGGGATCTAATGAGCGGCTCATAAAACGCGCTAAAGTTTGCACATAAAAAGGGTCGTCGTTGACCATTGCCGGGGTCCCATATGAAACGCATAATTAAGGCTGCGAAACTCGCTCAACTGCAGACAGCCATTAAACAAGGGGATCACTCTAACGATGGTTAAAAATGCATTTTTAATAGCCAAATTATTAACAAAGAATCAGTTTCACTGGGCACGAGAAAGGTACGTATCCTTTTCTCGACTTCAAAGAGTAAGGGACAAACGTGTGGGAAATTTCATCACACCGAATTTAGATAAAATACTTATTATTTTTATGAAGGGCACATTTTTCAAATCGATTTGCATTTACATCTTGCAAACTTTTTGAACGAATAATACTCATATATAATATATTTAACAATCTTTAAAACGACACCCAATCAAACGGACTTCATTATTTTAGTTAATATATTAGAAATAAAATATAGTGCTTGTGGAACATCTTTTTTTCAGTATTATAATTTAGGTATTCATATAAAAAATTAACAATTCGCCAAGTGAAAATTAATAAAGCTGTCAGCTATGACACATCAACATTTAAACATTAAAACCAGACGGAAGAGAAATATTATTTTTGCCTGCTGTATTCTCTAGTTGCATCTTCAGTAAAAAGCAAACATTTATCGCGCGGCATTTTTCCACCGCTTTTCAGTTCACAAAAAAAGGAAAATTAAATATTTTTTCCCTGTGAAAATGTGCAAATAGAAAGTTTGCCTCTGTCGCCCGCCAAATGCAGTAAAACAATTAAGGCAAGGTGAGAGGACAGTGGGGCGGATGGGTGGGAAACTGAGGCAAAACTGCAAGCTCAGCGAAAGAAAGCAACCTTAATGACAGTGGGCAGTGCACAGTTTGGCAAGCACTGGGCCCGATCTGGGGATCTTCAGATCGTAGCCCCTTTTCTTGTGTGGTCGTCAATTGACATAACATAAACATTTGCACTCGGGCATTTGCCCACGAGCACACGCAATCGCAAATCGCCTAATTATGGCCCTTTGCGGCTCTTCTTCTTCCAGCTCCGTTGGCCCATTCAATCGATTCAAATGCCCGACAATCTTTTCAATTATTTCTTATCACCTGCGGGAGACCAAGGAACATGTAAATACACTGCTTAAAAAATAATGATGAACCTTGGAAAATGTTTGGTCTTTTAAGAGATTCGAAATTAGTTTATTTAAAATTAAAATATATGTATTTATTTTTAATATATTTATATTATTATATTCGTTTCTTTAATATTTGGGAAGTAATTGAACAATCTTATATTGGAATAAGTATAACTTTAATATATTTTTGGCTGTTATTGTTTTGTTATTTTGTATATATATTTAACAATACAAAAAATATTTTCTTCTAGTGTAATTGCATAGCTCTCCGACAACTTTGTTGCAAGTTTCCGACCAAGTTGCTAATGGCATCTGTTGATTTTGTTTGTTTCGCTTTTATTCTTCCTCTGGAGATGCATATTTAGCTATTGGAGGACGTCGATCGAACGAGTATCTTAACTGTCCCGACCAACGACATTCGATTGATATAAATTTAAGCAAAATTTCTGACTATCACAATTTCCCCTGGCCATTTTAACAGGCCAGTTGTGTTGCCGCCTGTTTCAGGCAGAGTCCGTGGCATATTTTTGGCTTGTTGCGAATTTTTCGCGTTTAGCCATCGTTTCCAACGTTTTTCGGCGGATGGCAGTTGTTTGATTAATTACCATGGCCAATGCAAAGGAAAATCGCTGTACGAGTTTCGTTCAGCGGGGCTTTGGCAAATTGTCCACAAGTTCCGGCCGAAAGGAAAGACTATTGACAAATGTCTGGCTGGGGAAAGGGGATAGAAAAAGGCTCGACTAATTTGCTGTCCGCTAAAATCCAAAGCTTTAAATTGGGAAAGTTTACCGGTTGTGGGGCAGGCATTTAAAAATTTTTCAGGATTTGCTTGCTTTGATTAACCCTTGTGTGCCTGTCGGATAAAGTAAATATAAATATTAATCAAAAATTTGGTGGCACGATTTTTAGATATCTTTGCAAGTAATATAATTATTTATTAAATTAAATATCTTTTTTGCTGGTATAATAATGATACCTTTATCTTACAAAATAATTCACAATTTCTCAACCGTGAAATCTCCCACTCTTCGTTCTTCAAGCTTAGTAGTCTGGTCTTAGAAAAGTGAAACCACTCTTGCAACCTGAGTTGACACCTGCATACAGTCCGATGTCTCCATAACCGTAACCATCTTACAATCTTACATCGATTCGATCGATCCGCCGAGCCACTTGCACTTTCAGCATCGTCATTCTACTCGCGGACAACTTTCATCTTTCATCCCGTATCTTTTTCTGCTGCACTTTCGTTCAATCGGTCAACGCAACTCGGCTGCCGGTGTATCTGAATCTGTGTTTTTGTGCCCCTGCATCTGTACACTGACAAAAAGACTATTAAAAATTTAAATTTAAAGCTTTGATTAAGAAAGGTATGAAATTGAAGGGGTATTCAATTACATCAATATTCTTATCTACTGTTTATTAATTTTTGGGAGTAATAGAATATTTAAACTTGTATTAAATAAACCATAGTTTATTACATTTTGTTCAGTGTACATTTGTTGCGTTGAATCGCCTTGGGGGCCACCTTATGATGCCCGTCGATGGTAATTTGCATATTTTCCGCATGCGCAGACGACTCGAGTCGGCCAGTTTATTAAACAAAAATATTGACATGAAAATCGGCTTTCGATTTCCACGGGACAAATTGTGCGGCACAGTTGCACCACACTGAACCACACCGCACCGCCGAAACGAGATTAAATGGAAAGTGAAGTTGCACATGCGTCGCCAATCAAGCCGATGAAGCTCCGAGCCCCAGTCTACCACAGTCTTAGCCAAGAGTTTGCCGCTCGGCCTGTCGTCTGTGTAATTAGGACAAAATGTCTAATGTTGACCAATGCCGAAAAAGTAAATACAACTCGGTCCAGTTTGGTTTCGTTTCACGCACCTTAATGATCATTTAGCGGTCGGTGTTTGTTGGCCATTTAGTCGCAGCGGCTCTAAGCCGATCAATCTGGGAGCCACTTTTACCCCGACTGGGAAAGTTCTGCCATCACTTCGACCGAAGATGTCGCTCTTCGGAATGTAAACAAAGATGGGATGAGGGTTTTGACTTTTCTTTGGGAAATTCAGTTTCACTTGAACCGAAACTGAAAGTTTCCGCTTCTTGGGGATTAGGCTTGGGATTAGTTTTCCGAGTTTGATTTCTCTCAGAGCATATAGACGACAGTAAATCAATTTAATTTTAATAGAGCAGTAGGGAAATATCTCTAAAAATCTATCTAGAAATAAAACATCCAGTTGAGATAAACGATTTTGGTGGTGAAACATAACCAGTAAAAGTTGCTAAATTTGACAAGAAAATAATGACAGGAAAATTAAAATGTATTTAAAAAATCAAAATCGGAAATAATTAATTATATTACGAGGTAAAACTGTCAAATGTCCAAAGCCCAAAGATTAGGATGGATTACAGAAGAAATGCCGTTAAGAGCTTGGCGGCTCCATTAGCAACCAGCAACCCTCAGCCATTTCTCATTGCACCGAGCAAAACTGAATTAAAGCAACAATTATTTATTTAATCATATTTCATTGAGATTGAGCAATCAGCTGGAAGAGAAGCTCGGCTCAGAATTCTCGGCTACCTGACACTGCACATCAGAAGCATCTTCTGCAATTATTTGTGCATTAGAGGAAGCCAGCTACCTCGAGCTGTCGGCTAATGTCAGTTTAAGTGTGGCAATGAATAGAAAACATACCGAGGAAGTGCACCGGGAAAAAAACCCGGCCGGTGGGAAAATACCCGAGCAGTTGCATCTGGCTGCAACCTGCAACCTGCAAGCGGCAACCTGGTTGTTGGGCCTGAAATGATATTCGCATTAAGAATGCCTGAAATGTGCGCCAAGTCCTTAAATGCATCCGCTATACGAATTGCGCTGCCAAATCGAATTAATGCAGTTGATTGCCCCAAAAATGGCAGCCCCCGCAGTAGCTTGGCAGGTTGCTCAGTGACCATAAGTGCATTCGGCGGAAAACAGAACGCTTTTGGCAATCCGCAATAAATTCACATTTAATCGCAGCTATGAAGTTTTATTAATAAACTGAAGTCTGACCCACATAGACACCAATTAGTCTTTCCTCCGACTGTGCTTCCCCAATAAAAACTGAGTAATTAAAGTAGAGGAACAATAAACGGAGAGAATAAAATAAAAATAGAAATAAAATATTTTTAATAGCCAATAGAACGGATATTAACAATATATAACTTCATAATTATTTAAGTAATTAATTAATTTGATTTTAACTCATATGTAAAAAAAAAACTTAATAAAAAAATATAATTTTTATAAATTCAATTAATTGTATTATTTCCTTTTTATACTTTTTTGTTAAAAAAGAAGATTACGAAAGTTTAAGAGGCTTGATTTAGGAAACATCCAAACAAAAAAGCTAAAAATACCAATTTATCCCAACCACTGAAAAGAAAAACTAATTATTTTCAAAAACGAAACAGTTTCTAGTGAATTTAATAATAAATTCGTACAATATTTATAAAAACAATTTGAGTACATTTGATAATTTGCTGAAAATAAATTAAGTTTCGGGATGACACGGTGAGTATAGCAAGGAAAATGAAATGAGGGAGGAACAAAAGGCACAAAAAGGTCAGACTGCTAGCGAAATTCGTTCAATCATCGATAATCTCGGTTATCTTGGCACTCTCGGCGAACACGTCGGGGATCTCCGCATCGTCGGACCGCTCAATGATCCTATAACGCTCCGCCGCCGCCAGGCACTGGATGGCCACCTCTCGGGCCTTGGCACGCGTATCATCCGGCAACTGGCCCAGGCCGCTCAGCAACTCCATGATGTCCGTCTCGAACAACTTCTTGGCGATCTCCTCACCAGCGTTGATCATATTCAGGATTACCACAATGCCGCGGTGCTGGACTGCCGGACTGGGATTGGCGATCAGCGTGTGCAAGACGTCCAGGAAGCTGGCGATGTCCAGGATCTTTTCGCAGCACTTGGCGGACACCGACGTTAGCATGGCCAGAGCTCCGGCACAGGCTGTGGCCGTCTCCTCGTCCTCATCCTCGCAGAGCAGGGCCAAAAACTTCACCCGGTCGTTGTTGCCCTCGAACATCTTCACGACATCCTCGCTCATCACCAGATTACACAGGCATTGGGCTGCCGCGCGGGTGAGGTAAAGATGATCCTCCATCAGATAAAACTCAATCTTCGACAAGCCCTGCTCCTTGATGATCCTCTGGCGCACGCTTTCGTTCATGCTGGCCAGATTGGTAAGCGCCATGAGGGCTTCAAAGTTCTCCAACGCTGTGCAGTCCTGCAGCAGGAGGTTTAACAAAGGGACGGATTACATCCAGCGATCGCTGACCACTGAAGGCCACTTCCGGGTTGATGGTTATGCCGATCCTGGCCAACGCCTGACTAGCATGACGTTTACCCTTCTCGGTGCCTTCGAGAGCCATGCGAAGCAGTGCCTTGACGCCTCCTTCCTGTACCACTTTTCCACGTAGCTCTTTCAGTCCACAAACGGAATTCAAGACCCTGGCAATTAGCTCCTGCGAATTGTGGCTCTCCGTTTTGGAAAGAGCACAAAGTGCTGTTGTAATGCCCTCGTTTGCCAGCACAGTAATGCGCTTGTTGATGAAATCCACATCGTCCAGCTCGTGCTCCTCGGGTATGTGTTGCTTGGCAAACTTGGCCAGTTCCACCATCTCGGGCAACATCTCCTGCTTCTCATAGGCATTGCACAGGTTCACAAAAGTGGTGACCACACCATAAAGGCAGGACTGATTTCCAGCGCGGGCCAAGTCCATGAGAGCGTGTATGGAAGCCTTGTCCTCAATGAGCTTTTCCTTGCACTCAGCGTCGAGGGTTAGATAGGCCAGGCCATCGGCCGCCCATCGTCTGATATCCCTATCCTTTCCTGGCTTGATCAGGAACCGACGGCAAGCCTCCGCCAACTTGAGAGCGGCTCCATCGCCAAACGGACGGATGGCCGCATCCTGACCACCGTAGCTGCCCAGCTTGCAGAGACCCACGAGGGCGCGCACTCGAATGCCATCGTTCTTCGAGTGGTAGAGCCGCTTCAGGATGTCCACGCCCTGCTCGACCAGAGCCTTGGCCTTGTCCTTTTTAGAGGAAGCGGCGATCAGGCACTCGCAGGCCACTCGCTGCTGCAACTCATCGTCGGTGGTGGCCATGGCCAGAATCATCTGTAGGATGCCTGTAAAAATAAGAGCATAGTATTTAATTTATCCAATCTAACTAAGAAAAGTGGACTCACCATCTCTGGCCACCACCTGATTGCCCACATCCAATGGACCGTTGAGCAGAGCAGTAATCGCCACGGTGACCCGCACTTTGGACTCCATGTCGGGCGCCAGAAGCTTGTCCTTGATGTACTCATCGATCTGTTCCACGAACTTCAGCTTGGCCGCATCGTAGTACATGTTCTCGTAGATGCGGGCCAGACAAACGGAGGCAATTGTGGCCGACGAGCCGGTGATGTTCATGGCACTCTCGTACTTGTAGTCCTCCAGTTCGGAACAGACGTCCAGGAGGCGGCACAGACCCCTGATCTCCACCAGGCGCTCGGCCCACTCCAGAGCAGTGTAGTGAACATTCCTGGTGATCAGCTCCATGACGGCGTCCCTAGCCGCTCCGGAAATCGTGCGATCCGTGATGCTATAAACCAGGCAGGTGAGCAGAGTGTCTATCTCGCGGTTGTTCTTGGTGCACAGCTCCTTGTCCGGCTTGGAGTCCATTTTGTTCTTCAGCCCGGACAGAGCGTTTATGATTGTTTGCAGGCAAAACTGGGCGGTGGACACACAGTCCTCGTGTTTCTGGTCGAGCACTCTCATGAACCACGGTACTCCCAGTTCCGTGAGCACGCCTTTTGTGCGATCCACGCTGTTTTCGCAGAGAGCAGCCACCACTCGCACCATGTTCACATAGATGTCCTGGTCCTTTTCCACCTTGGTGAGCGACGCCACCTTGGTGATGCAGTGCTCCTTGTAGAGCAGCTCGGCGCCAGTCTGCTCCTTGGCCAGAACAACCAGGTTATTGGCGGCGGCGCGACGCTTATCGATGGGCGTGGCCAGATCAAAGGTGAGGTCCATCATCTGCTGCACCTTCGAGGAGGTCTTCGCATTGCGCGCCTTCCGCTCCTCCACGACGACATGCAGCCTCTGGAGCATGGGCTGTACGGATTTGTTGCCGGGATCCGCCTTGAACAAGGCGGTGGCATCTTTGTAGGCCTCCTCGAACTTCTCCAGAGCCTCGTAGGCCTGCGCCCGGCGGAACAGAGCCTTGGGATCGGCCGGACCCACCTTCAAGGATTCCGTGCAGTCCTCCACGGCGCTTTCGTACTTTTCCAGCTTCAGATAGGCAGCAGCACGATTCTTGTAGAAGACCGGCAGCTCCTTGTGCTTGGAGCCCAGTTTGATGGCCGTGCCGTAGTGCTGCACTGCCTCCTCCCAGCGGGAGGCCTTGAAGGCCTCGTTGCCCTTATCTTTGTAGGTTCCCGCATCGGAGACTTCGTCGCTGCTGATGGTATTCGTCATGGTTACACAATTTTCTGTATGAAAACACAAAAAACTTTAGCTGCAACTTCCTATTGATCGCAGATGACTCACTATTCGGTTCGGTTTGGTGCCTTCTGGCCTAAATTTCGATTGCCAGAAACTTCTCGATCGCTCTCGAGTGCGCACAGATACAGATACAGATGGTTAGCGGGAAAATCAAGCACGCTGTGTGAGAAAATTCAACCGGCTGCTGCGCTGTTCTATATATAAATAAGATCGGAGAAGAAAACCAAAATAGTTGCAACAGTTGCCATTCGCAGCGAAGCGGGCGCACAGCTGTTTAGAGCGGTGGTAAAGATTATGGCTAGTTTAAAGCCAGAAAAAGCTATAGCCGATTATTTATTAAAGCCTAGTACTCAGTAGGACGATGGCTGCATTAGAGCTTTGAGACTTAGAAAGGGACAAATATATATACATTTACTAGGATTTGTTTGGATGTGATGGCATGGTCACTTAGAATTTAGGCGTTAAATTTAAACTTTATAATTCAAACACCCCGGCGATCTCTGGACAAGAGGACGTCATGTCTCACGTGTCCTGAAACAGTAATGGGTTTTTTGTATTGTTGTTTTAGTTTTCTATTAGAAGTTATAAGACTTGTTACTCCCCATCCTGTTATGTTTTCAAGTTATTTGATCCTATTTGTACTATACGTTTTATAGCCATTAATTTGGCTGATCAATGTAAAATTATATGAGTTACACTAAAAAAACTCTAAAAAAAAATAATTCAAATAACTTTAACTGGGCTGTTCAAAGTACATATGTAATTGTTTTTAATTTTATCATATTCGGCATTATATGCAAGGTTTTTTATAGCAAAATGTCACAAAACAGCTAAAAATCCTAGAAAATGCTACGTTGTATTAATAGCAAAACAAGCGACTTTGAAATGCAATTACAAGAGAACCATGCATTTCCGACGATAATCATCTGCACGTAAATTCCTAAGAAATCGAGGTCCATCGAGGGTAATTTTTTCGCGGCTTTTGGGGCACAGGTCCCTCTTCTAGACTATTACCAAATTTACCTCGATGGATGCTATATTTTTGAATTCGGTAAGAATTCCCAAGTTGAACTGCGTTTTCCAAAAAGTTCCCCAAAAAGGCTGAAATTGGCCAACTTTCCAGAGGTCTCGAGGCAACGGATTTATGGTTTGTTTTCACGTTAAAATTTTTTAAAAACTTAAAATATACAGCTGCGGTCAAAATAGTAGTAGTGCCGCCCTGTGTTTCAAAAGTTTGTTGTTTGTTTTCTCGTTTAGGATTTCGGCTGTATTAAGGCCTTACAAATCGGCGAAGACCTCAAATTAGTTTTGGACACTCTTACGAGCATGCAAATTATGCATAACTGCATGGGAGTAGTCGCAGATGGATACAAAACAAACTTTTTGGCGTTCGGAAAAATTAGATTTACCCTGCCCGTGTTATATGACTACTCGCACTTCGCTTTACAATTCAACAAAACCCTGGGGCAGCAGCAGAAGGAAACATTCCTAAAGAAGGTATACTCCTGCGAGGAGAACACCAAAGAAGGGTGGGAGAAAACGTTGAATGATTTCAGAAAAGAAATTAAAGAGCACTTACCCCCGGTTATGAAGCCAAAATACCGGTCGGAATGGCTAGTAATTTCCCAAATGCACCAGCGGTGGTGGTCCCGAACGAGGAAGGCCGTGTTCTCATTAAAGAGAATAAACAATGATTCACTGGAGCGCCTCAAAGATAACTGGGAGCCTCAAATCAAAACGTGGATGAAATCAGTGGAAAAAGACTACCCAGGGCTTTTCAATGAAACAGACAAAAAGATTCAGCTGTTCGCCAGATGCTTGGCACTACAAGTGCTAAACACCAAGGATGAAAGTTCTTAGGAAATTTCATTTTATTCGTTTATTTTTCATTAATTTTATTTTTTAACAAAAAGTAATAGCGCCAAAATATGCCGTCTGGTCGCAGCACATCAGCAACAGCTTACGAGATCAGAAATAAGACAGAAGGATTAACCGCGTGGTTCACGCTTTAGTGTTACCAGAGATCGAAAACGATATAATGCCGGTTTTGGTATATACTATAGATTATAATGGGGTTATTCAATACATAACCGTTTGCACTAGGACAATAAAACGCTCGAGTGTATCGAATGTTTATAAATCGATTTAAGAATTTTCCAATCAGATCGGCATTATTTTCTTTAACGAAACATTTTCGGTACTAGTGCAATCAAAACGCGTAAGGAAATGAGCGAAGGAGTTTCAGAACGAGCACGACCAGGGTAAAGGGTTCCTTCACTAATGAAATTAGTTAGTTTCCGCTAAAGCTTCTAGCACAAGCACGGCCAAAGTCAATTGTTTTAACCCTTCTTAAACTTCTAGCTGATTTAGCTTTTAAATTCCAGCGCCACTGGTTCCGACTCCCATCCGCCTATCGATAACAACGCAGGCGAGGGTGAACAAGTTCAAGTTCAAACAGCTGATCCGATTTGTTTTGGATTTTCATGTGATATAACGAAGCGAAAACAATTCGAGCGGGCCAAAGGACACATCCAGGATGTTCCAGCACGGCCCCATGCTGTGGCGACCACTGCTCGTCCTGCGCAGCCTGCACCTGAATCAGCGCCAGCAGATGAGTCACTATGATGCCCTGGGAATCGGACGGCGATGCACGCAGAACGAGATCAAGGCAGCTTACTACAAACTCTCCATGCTCTACCATCCGGACAGGAATCAGGGAAGCGAGACCGCCGCCAAGAAGTTCCGCGAGATCAATCAGGCGTACGAGATCCTCGGCAACTACCGCCTGCGTCGTCTCTACGACAAGGGAATCGTGCACACAGCGGGCGCCCAATACGCACAGGATGTCCACGATGTGGCGGAGCCCGTGGTGGAGGACGATCCGGAAACGAAATTCTACAAGTCGCGCTTTCAGAAATCGCGAGTCGCCGACGCAGAGGGGCGCCAACCCATCTACGATTTTGACGAGTGGTCCCGGAATCACTACGGCAAATCCTTTGACCGGCGACAGGCGGCCCAGGCCAAATACGATCGGATTAGGGTGCAAAAGGAGACCAACAAGATGTCTGGACAAACGGACATGGTCCTGCTGGCCTTCCTCTTCTTCGGAGTGGCCATTTACCTCATGTTCCTCGCCGAGAGCTCCTACGATACGCCGAAAGCAGAGGGCGGAGGAGCGGCACAGACGGGATCGCGAAGAACGAGAGCAACAGGTGACCGGGAAGAAGTCTTAGAGTTCCCTAGTCCACAGTGTAAATAGAGTTAAGTTTAATCAATTAAATCGAAAGGCTATTTTTGTGATTAAGAAAGCTGGTCGCATTATGTTTTTGGATAGTAATGGAAGTCTTGTCTAAGTTTTCAGTTCGGAAACCTTTTCTTAAATTAGATTTGTAGGGATAAGATATTATGTAGGGGTAAAACCTTGAAAAACCTATGGAAATTAGGAGTTTAAAATACACTATAAATTTAACATGCTAAGGAAAAAACGGTCCTTAGAATTAAGAACAAAAATTACCATCATTTTGTGAGATTAACTAGGTAAACTTTAATCAAAATTTAGCAGGACGCTTGCGCGCAGTGTACTTCGTATCAGGACGCGTTTCCAAACCCTGCCGGCGTCGTCGTTCCTTCTTGGCCAGAATCCAATCTCGCGATTTCTTCGGGGCCTTTCCACGCGCCTCACGGCAGGCATCACGTTTCTTGATATAGTTAACACGCCGCTCCTCCTCAGGAGAACCTGTAAATAAGGGTGGTAAAGTAAAATAGTTATTTTACGAATTAATTAGAGACCCACCCAAGGCCTTTGGCAGCTCTGCCGATCCTCCAGTCATCAGCACCAGATAGTACTTCTTTGCCTTGGCGGAGTTGGGATAGTCAACCACCAATCCTCCATAGAAACCCGCCTTCATGGCCTGCGAGGTGACCATCTCAATCTGATCCGAGTTCTCAGGGTAAAATTGAAATACGGCGCGGGCGGTACGCGTTAGACAGGAAAACAGCGTGGTGAAGAACTTCAGCAGGCGCTTGTGGGGATTGTGATACGACTTGTCCGCGTTGCAGAGCCACTGGAGGGCAGAGATCGAGATGGCGCCATCGAAGGTGCCCGGCTTGAAGGGCATACCCTCGCCCATGTCGCCCAGGATCACGTCGCCGGCCACTTCCCGCTCCACCGCGATATCCAGCATGGACTTGGATATATCTATGCCGATCCACATGTGCTCGCTGTCCTCGAGGACGCTTCCCGAGAGGCCGGAGCCACAGCCAATGTCCAAAATCAAGCGGGATTCATCGTCATCCGGAAAGGCCAGCAGTTCCAAGGCTCGCTCGGCCATTTCCACTTGGATCTCAATGATGCGGGTGCTAAAAATGCATACTAGTACTCAGATCTTCTTTTTTTTAAAACAATTACTCACTTTGTGGAATATTTCTTGGCCTCATCATCGTTGTAGAACTGAAAGAGCACTAATTTAGATAGAGCCTGTATTTTACCAACCACATACTAACAATTTCTGGAGGTGCTGCATGCTCTGGTCTTCTGGCCATATTTCCTGTATTTCTCAGTAAATTACAAAACTATAAAAATTAAGGAGCGTTTTTATATAAACAAACTAAGAACTCGGCTACACGTGCAATCAGCGAACAGCTGTTTACCATTCGCAGTGCAACGTCTACTTATCGACTCTGCTATCGCTATCGACCAAGTTATCGAGCTAGCCTACACCAACACATATCGTGAAAATCCGAAAATCCGTGAAAAATGCAATTTTTCATTTAAAATAAAAGCAATAATCATGTGAAGAGTGTGATTTAAAGTGTAAACTCGTCCGTGCACCAAGTGAAACGGTGAGTTGAGCCTGAAAACCCGCACGGATTGATAAAAAAGCTAGCATTTGCATGGGGCCGTTTTTGGGTGTGGGAGTGTGCCACTGAAAATTGTTACCTGTGTGTGCGTGTGTAATGCTTCTGACGCGTCAACAAATGACAGTGTTAAGTGCTAATTGGCAACCGCCGTTTGTTGTTGTTGCCCAGGCGGAAATGTAAATGCAAAAAGTTCAGGTGTGCGTGTGTGTAGCCGTTATGTCTGCGCTAAAAAACTAGTGGCACAATTTGCGTAGGAAACCCGTTACGCTGACCCGTTTGCCTTGCTCCAATTTGGCCGAAAAAAGCGAAAACTCATCTAGCCAGTAAGCACAATAACAACAACAACAACAACAGGTTAATGCTTCTCTCGCAGGTAGAACAAATTAATTGAGTACAGCTTTTTCAACAGCTGTTTATACCCTTGTAGAGGGTATTATAATTTCAGTCAGATGTTTGCAACGCAGTGAAGGAGACGTTTCCGACCACATAAAGTATATATATTCTTGATCAGCACCATAGCGAGTCTATCTAGCCATGTCCGTCTGTCCGTCTGTCCGTCTGTCCGTCTGTCCGTTTCTATGAACTAGTCTCTCAGTTTTAAGTATCGCGATGAAACTTTCCCGAAGGTCTTCTTCTATTGCGGTGTACATATGTCGGAGCCAGCCGGATCGGACCACTATATCTTAAGGCTCCCAATCAAATATAAGAAAATTCATTGTAACTTTGTAGGAAGTGGCGTTTTGATTCTTGACTACTTAAAACAAAATTGAAATAAATCGAAACGCTGAATCTGGAATCCCTGGAACTGACCGGTATTTTTATCTACAAGGGTTATAGTTCGGCCTGCCGTGTTTGTTTTCGGAGTAAGAGAGAGCAATTTCTCTCGCTCCTGTTTCGATCTTCAGTGGCTTTAAAAGTGTACCGCAGTCAAGTGCATTTCAAACTGCATCAGAACTTGCATTTCATTTGATGTAATGTTCCTTTGTTTTCTGGCCAAATAAATAAAGCACCCGAATTCAGGTTTATTTGCGGCTCGCCGGTTTACTGCCTGTGCTTGGGTACTCTTTGCATATTTATGAGCAAACTGGTTATTCTTTTTGGCAACGGAACATCTTTCACTCTTTCCAAGAACAACATTCTCTCCTCCGATCGCCGATGGTTACAAAATTTACGCAACAAGCACCGATCGCGGTCGCTGGCCTCTTCACTCAACAAGTTTGCCAAAACCCCCAGAAAAAACAGCAGGTGAAAAGATGAAATCGAACCGCGAAGCTTTTAATACTCTTGAAATTATTGATTTTGACTTTTTGGGATAAACGATGAGCAATAGGTATTTTGCTTATAACAGCTTATGTTACTAGCAAGTCCTTAGCTTAATTATTGAAATATAGGTCTTATACGGAGTTAGTCAAGTTAGGAACTGATTGTTCTTATATACATTCAAAACTTCCTCAATTGGCAATACCCACTTATAGTGGGTTAATTTTGACTTTTTAGGATATAAGATGATCAAAGATATATAACTAGAAAATCCTTAGCTCAATCTTTAAAAAAATAGGCCCTGTACAAAGATAGTCAACTTAGGAATTGATTGTTCCTATATATATTGAAATTCTTCCTCAATTACCAATACCCACTGATAGTGTATAAACTACAACCGAACCCGGTGTCTTCCATTTTGGAAACCAGATACAGATACGGGGACAAAGACAGATACAGATACAGATACAGAGCCAACTACAGATGCTCGCTGGCTGCTGGGAAGAGTAGCTTCAGTTGCGTGCCTCCATTCCCCCAGAGCAAACCGTTCCCGCCGGAAGAAAGTAAGAAAAGCTCGAAATGCGCAGTGGGCTAACGCTTTGTCCCCTGCTGCTGGTGGTGGTGGTGCTTCTAGTGGGTCACCTAGTGGCTCCCGTGGCGCCGGCTAACCTACTGACCAGCTATCTGCCCGCCTCCATGCAGGCCCTGGCCTACTACATAGACCTGCTGCAGTACGAACCACTCTCCACGACGACAGTGGAGCCGCCATTCAGCGCGGATGACGGAGGAGTGGAGTCCACAACAGCCAGTGCGAAACCATCCACTCCGTTGCCCACAAGGAGCAGGACCACTACCACGAGGAGACCGAGTGGAATCGGAGGCTTGGGGTCGGTGTGGTGGCAACCGCCTAGCTGGTGGGAAACGCCCCAGAGGACTTCCACCACCGAGAGACCCACATCGCCACCCACTCTGCCGCATCGTCCAGGAATTTTTGCACCAGCTTCGCAAACGGAAAAGGCCCTCGAAGGTCACACTCTCTTCGAGGAAATCGGAGATGGTTTGGACTTTGACAAGCTGCCTTTGTCTTTGATCCGTGATATTCAGACCGAACGCGACGACTTTACCAACGATGTGGAATCGCTGGATAACTTTTTGCGCCTGTACGACGATAATTATGGAAGGGCTGCCTTTGACTTTGAGTCCGCCATGGATCGGTGGAGTAGCTCCTCGATAGCGGGCAAAAAGCGGGTTCCGCCCACCAAGCCCTATGTGGATTTCCTGCTGGTCTACGATCTCCTGAAGCGCGACGCCAAAGGCGGCGAATCTCAGCAAGTACGAGGGATATTCCGAGGACCTGCTGCAGCAGCTGCACGAGTTGTCCCAGGCCTCTTCGGCCAGGCAATTGCATACCCTTTTCCAAAGGATGCTGGACCGCGGCGACATTCAGCGGAGTGACGTGGTGGCCCGCGTCCAGGGAATCGTCAAAGATCTGGGGAATCCCAAAAGCGCCACCTCCAAGGCCTTGGCTTTCATTCCCAGCATGCAGTTTCTACCTTAAGCTCCTAGATAAGTCGCAATAAAGTCGAGGGACCATTTGACCCTTTCTGTATGCTTAATACTTTATCTTGATTTAGGGTAATCGATCTTTTTATGAAAAACCTAGTGAACATAGTAATACATTTGTAACGAAATAATGGAAATGTTTATTTTGCCCAAGTCCTATAGATGGCAAATAAGATATTAGTTCATCATAGTTGAGAAAGTATAGAAACCACATTTTATAGCTGTTATAACGATCTTGAAACAAATATAGATGACTAGCTTATGGGACCAATAAGCGTAGTGTGAGTCATTTGTTGATTTTTTTTGTAAATATTTTAAGGTTTATATTTGATCTACTATTCGTTACTTCTTCTTAGGTTTTTTTTTGTTGTTAATAATTAAATAATGCTCTGTTAATATTGAACCAATAGGACATCTATCTGCGCCGTTGCAATTTATGTGAATTTAAGACCGATATAAGAATACCATTTTTGGATTCTCTCAATCAACCGCTTGGCAATCGCTTTGCAGCCGGAAGTGTCACGGGAAATGGCCTCATAGGACAAAGGAAACAGGACATTGGGCACAGGACACGCCCCTAGGGCCATTCCCCCCTTTAACCCTCATGTTGGCCAACTGACTTAACTGACACATTGACATCGTTCACGACGTTGCGGGTGTGAGTGCATCGGTGTTAATGTGTTATCTATAACAGGTCAGCCGGCTGCAAATTGTTGCTGCTTCTGCCACAGTTTTTTGTTGTTGCTGCATCAGCTGCGATACGACGTCATCGAGCACTCTCTCTTCTCTTTTCCCCAGTGCTTGCCACCCACTTTTGCTCTTTGTCCGCGGCTCCCTCTTAGTTGCGCTCTCGCTCTCTTTGGTACACAGTGGGTTGCTTTTTGATTTTATTTTGTTTTTGCTCTCTCGCACTTAAATTAATTCAGCTATCACACCCTAAAGTAGAATACACTTCGATTTGCCTTTTAAGGAGTCAACAAATAATATTAAATTGTGAATTATGACTAATGGTATTCAAGAAGCGCTTTTAAAAATAAAACCACAAAGTTAAAGTTTTTACAAATAAATCTATGGGCATTCAACTACATATATCTGTGTGGCTTTTAATAATTTAAATTTGTAAAAACATCTTTTTCTTGTCGGAAGGGTATTCAATGTATAAAAATTCGGTGATAAATTCAAATTCATCAGTATTTTGTAGTATTAGAGCTTACTAAAATTTATTTGATATAACTTCTAGAAAATTGTAAAATGTTTTTTAAATTTATTTTTACTAATTTCAATCAATATGCTATTCATCAACGAATAGATGTTCTATTCAAGTCAATAATAGATATCTATTCATCAAGAACAGATATTTCTAATATATTTTTTAAACTCCCATGCACTACGTCCCGAACTGCCAATGAAAAGTATAGTACTCCCTAAAAAGAGTATGAAAAGAGCGCGCTCTGCTATCCGGTGGATTGCTTTTCGCCAGCGCTCTTTGGTTTCATTTTGTTTTTGTACTCGGTGCGCGTAGCAAGTGTAAGCGGCTCTGGCTCTGCTTCTTCTTACAAGAGTTCCGCCTGTAATCTCCTCTAATTCGGTTTTATTTTTTCGCAATTTACGCTACATCAAGTGACAAGCTATTGAAAAATTAATTGCCCAATTGAAATTGAAAGGCAAAAAAAAGCATCCATTAGGAAGAGCTTAAAACTTTGCCTAAAAGTGCTGTGGTGGAAAAGTATCGATTTGTGTGAAAATTGCAGGCTGCTGCAGATTGGCGAAAGAAAAGGCGAAGAAAGTTTTCTGGAAATGTGAAGACACAACAAATCGCAACAATGGAAAACTTAAACTTTGCACGCACGCCGCAATTTCTGCGCAAAGTTATCTCCGAGGCGCGCAGGTAAATGCAGGAAAAAAACAAAAACAATGGACAAAGGGTGACGAAGAGGGGTGGGTTGGGGGAAATTAACCCACCACCGAAAGAAAACACCACCCACCGGCGAACGGGTCACCCTAATATTCCGTATTCCATGGGACAAGTCTAGCCGGGATTTGAAATTGTGGCTGGTTCTTGGACTCTTGTTTCTAGTTTGTTGCACCTTACAGGTTTTACTTGTTTTCCTTTTGTGGGCCGCGCTAAGTGGGCGGAAGGGGGTGGTGCAGCAGCCCGATACCGTCTTATGTAACTCGAGCCTGCAGACGTCAATGGTTCGGTGTCCTCACGCCAGAGGATTATTTCTCCTTGTACATGTGTACCTACAGCTACGGTCACAATATTAGCAGTGCAGAAGGGTAGCCTGGAAAGTGAAGTACATTAAATTAGGCTTTTCCGTCTTTATATAATTTAGTAGCCCATAAAAGGATATTTCCAGTATTGGTTAATTTTATTAGCCAATAATAATTATTTTATAATAAACGGTTTTATATTCGTTAAAATACGTTTGGAATTTAAGTTAAATATTAATCACAAAACAACTTGAATATGATTTAAAAAATCCATATTTTCGTTAACTTTTGCAATATTAATTTTAGAATTCTGAAAAATTAAAAAAAAATTTTAAGAATTATGATACATTTATAAAACCCAAATATCAAATATTCATTGCTAATGCTTCGACTGATATTGTATGCAGTATGAAAATATGAACCTTTGTGCAACATGCCACACACGCCACTCGAGGCACAAACCGCAAACAAAGCCAAAAGACAACAAAGAAGCAGAAGAAAGGAGCTGCAACGAACCGAAACCCCTTGGCGTCTAGAACCCCTAAGTCAGGATACCCTTAAAAAGCCCGACAATTAGTCATAGGAAATTGCACATACTCTAGAAAAAAGTGTTTCCACAAGTATGAAATCATCTTGCAAAAGCTTACGAGTCACAACATTCGAATACTCTTCACTCTCCTATTTTTTACATTTTTATTAATTAAAGAGAATCTAAATGTATCATTACAAAAAACATTGCGTATTAAGCGACCTCAGCCATCCTTTATTAATCAGCCCAAAATACAAATAAAAAACTATTTCTTTAAATATTATGAGAATTATCTAACACTATTATCCATTATGTACTCATTAGGTTTTAATAATCTTGGACTCATAGTACGTGCTATAAGATCGTGTCATTATTTCGTACTCGGTGTACGTTAGCGTTTAATGGGGCTTTAAAAGGAAAATTATAAAATGGAACTTAAGCATAATAAATACTGCAAGCGGCCTTCCCAAGCCCCGCGGTGCAGCAACGCCCCAAAACCATTAAAATTCCATCCCACCACCCTCCCACACGTCATTTCCATTGTCTTGGACTCGGCAACCCCATTACCCATTGCCGGCGGACATCATTTCGCACATCGCACACAAATGACGAGGACATGAGCTCCTAGCCCTCAGGCCCCTTCGATTTTCCCTGCGAAACGCCTTTGTTTCGGATTAATAATTTGGCTCCTCTTGACTTTGCCGCCATCTGTGTCAATGGGCGCTGCTATCGAGCCCAAGGCGACAGCTCTTTCCCGCACTTATCAAAGCTGCATGCGAGTGGGTGTGTGGATAAAACAAGAAAATGGGACGGGTGTGGGTGGGTGGATTTTCTAGTTGTAATGGTGCAGCTTCCGCTTGAAGCGTGCCAGCGTATCGATACATTTGAATATGTTTTTGGCATGACTTCGGTATAATCATCACCGTCATCATAGGCGTATATATAGATCGAGTGATGCATACTTTTCCTCGGAATGCCGCGGCAGCTCTTTTCGATCCCCCTCTTTCGTAGCATATATTCCGTAAAGTGATTGTTCTACATATTTCCGCAAGCTTAAGGGGCATATTTGGTATATCTAAAAGTAAATACTTTGACCCAAAATTTATGTCGTAACTGAATAAGTATATTATACTTATTGATAAGTGACCTAATTAAGATACTATCGATTTTGGATAAATCTGTGTTTTCATAAAAAAAGGAATAATATAATTAAATCAATGTATATTTAATTTATTTATCTTGTCAATTTTAGACAAATTTTATTACTTTCTCAAATTAAATATTTAACGAAAACACTTATTTCTAATTACAGATAGCACCTATTACAAAATTGTGTACCTAAAATCTAAAATAAAGCCTGAAATACTGATCATCAAATTTAAATCGATAATGCAGCTGTCGGTATTAGTAGAATCAAATGGCAAGGTCAAAGTCTCTCCACGATCAGCCCCAAACACACTCTTCAACCATATGTTGAGTTTAATTAATGACACATTCCGCAATTTATTTTGTTGTTTTTTCTCGCTCGCTTTGCAGATCGTTTATAAACAGCGACCCATTTGCCGCCTCCGCCGCAAGGGGACGTTCGGAAACCGAGGAGGAGGCATCATCCGAGATGGAGCTCGCCCACACTTTGACCCTTAACGAGGAGGCACTCAAGCAGTTGCCGGAGCACAAGCGACCGGTATTTGAGCTGGAATGGCTGCGCTACTTGGAGAAGGCGCTGCCACTGGCGTCCAAGCCGGACATCAAGGCCAGCCAGAAGAAGCTGGTGCAGCAGCTCTCGGAAAGAATTCAGGGGGCTCCAGGTCCGCCCATTCGCAAGCTCATCGCCAGCGCCTTGGCCACACTATTCTCCGTCGGCGACACCTTCATGCTCTTCGACACCGTCAATGCCTGCAACGATATCCTGAAGAACAAGGACGACTCGCCCAGCTACCTGCCCACTAAGCTGTGAGTATAATAGAGCCCTGCATGAATGGATTCAATTAATTATTTTGAGTTTCTTGTTTTATATGAATGAATTAATTAGAATTTTGAGTTTAATAGAATTGAATAAATTTGAATTTTGAGTTTATTAGAATTGAATGAATGAATGCCATAATTTCCGAAATAATTCAAACGACAATTTTTTTTGAAGAAGAAAGGGCCATAATTTTGTGATTAAATCTGCCCGAATTTTATTTTATTTACTATGCAGTTAACATTGATTTCTTAAAAAATGTTTTCAAAAGAAAGCACAAAAAAATCTGGCAAATTCAAAAAATTCTTAAAAATTATTCATTCATTCATTCATTCAATTCGTAATTAGAAACATTGAATTTTTTACTTAGAATTAAAATATTCAATTTATTTCACATAAAATTGAATTAAACAAAAATTTAATGATTTACACAGGGCTCTAAAGTATATCGTGTTTAAAATATCTATAAATCTAAATCCAATATCCTTTAACCATTTTTCTAGTGCCGCCATTTGCGTCCTGGGCTCAATGTACGAAAAGCTAGGTCGGATGATGGGCCGCACGTACGAGGACACGGTCCAGATCCTCATTCGCACCCTGCGCAACGCGGAGTCGCAGGCGCGGATCGAGATAATGCACACGCTGGAGAAGGTGAGCGCTGGCATGGGCACCGCCATCGCCAACGTGCACAAGGACATCTACAAGGCGGCCAAGCACTGTCTCTTGGATCGCGTGATGGCCGTTCGCGTGGCCGCCGCCCGCTGCATCCTCAAGATGATCTACAGTGCACCGTTCCTCTACCAGACCGAGCTGGAGAGTCTGGGAACACTGTGCTTCCGTGCCTTCGATGGGAGCAACTACGAAGTTCGATGTGCGGTGGCTCAGCTGCTGGGCACTCTGTTGGCCTACACCCAACAACTGGCGGAGGCGGCGACGGGCAAAAAGAAGCAGGGCCAGGCGGTCGCCATACAGGCGGCCAAGGGAGCTACTCAGCGTCTGGTTTCCCTGGATGAAGCGCTGGGCATCCTGATGTCGGGCTTCCTGCGCGGCGGCGCCTCTTTTCTCAAGGGCACCGGCGAGATCATCAAGGGCAGCTCGGGAGTCAACAGAGAAGTGCGAGTGGGCGTGACCCATGCCTATGTGGTATTTGTGCAATTCATGGGCAGCGTTTGGCTGGAGCGACAGTTGAGCACCTTCCTGGCACATGTCCTCGATCTGGTGGCCAATCCCAAGGCCGCCTGTTCCCACGTGGATGCGGTGTACTCGCGCAAGTGCATCAACTTCATACTCCGATCGACGATTGGCAAGATGCTGGGCGAAAAGGCGCAGAGTGCTGCCTGTAAGGAGCTCGTCCACCTGGTGGCCAAACAAATGAATTCCATTGACTTTAACCCCGAAAACGCCAAGGACTCGAATCAAGAAACTCTGTTCAGTCAGCACTTATTGGTCTGCGCCCTGCAGGAGCTGAGTTCCCTGCTCATCGGACTGGGAACCACGGCCCAGAACTTGCTGGGCGATCAATCCCTGCAAGCCATCGACGCCACCTGCGCCGTTTTGGTTCATCCCTGTGCCGCCGCTCGCTTGGCTGCCGCTTGGTGTCTGCGTTGCGCTTGTGTGGCGGTGCCAGGACAGATAACGCCACTGATCGATCGCTTTGTGGAGGCCATCGAGCAGATGCGATCCTCGCCAGAGGCAATCGCCGGTTATAGCTGCGCCCTGGCGGCCATTTTGGGAAGCGTTCGGTACTCGCCGTTGGGCATTCCCCACACAAAGGGCAAGGTCGTGTTCAACTGCGCGGAGGAGCTGCTGCGATCTGCTTCCCAGAATAGCCGCATGTCGCTGCATCGCACGCAGGCCGGATGGCTGTTGATCGGGGCCATTATGACCTTGGGATCGCCGGTGGTCAAGGGCTTGCTGCCGCGAATGCTGTTGCTGTGGCGCAACTCGTTTCCGCGATCCAACAAGGAGCTGGAGTCGGAGAAGGCGCGAGGCGATGCTTTCACCTGGCAGGTGACGCTGGAGGGCAGGGCTGGAGCTCTCTCTGTGATGCATAGTTTCCTGTTGAACTGCCCGGATCTGCTCAATGAGGATATAACAAAAAGGTTGCTTACGCCCATCGAGAGCGCCCTGGCCATGCTGGTCAAGTGAGTAATATAATCTATTAAATAAATATATATTGACACTAATGAATTTATTTATTTTTCCCCAGTTTGGCTTCTGTCTTGAAGAGCTATGGCACCCAGCTAAAGGCTCCGGCAGCCATGGTGCGACTACGTCTGTTCGAGACCCTCACTCTGCTGCCTGCGAATGCCCTGGAAGCCTCCTATACTCATCTCCTTCGAATGCTCGTCTCGGAATTCACCCTTTCAGATAACGCAGCCAACACCACTAACTCTCTGCTGCGAACGCTCTGTCATGGCGACGATTCCATCATTCTGGGAACCTGGCTGCAGGAAACTAACCATCGCACCATCGAGGATCAGGTGGGTTTTATTTGGGAATACCTTCTTCCTATACTCGTATGTTACCTTTCTACCAACTGTCTATGCGTGAAACCCTTTTCACTGTTCTCTCCACCCTTCTCTGTATAATTGTGCATTCCCAAAGATGGAGCCCAATCGCAAAGTCGATGGCGAGCATGTAAGTGGTGTGCAATAATTGCAGTGGCAGTGTTTGTTTCCTGTTCCTGAAAAGTTTGTTTTTGTTTATTTTGGTTTTTTATAACAACTAATTATTTTAAACATTTTCAAAAAAAAAAATTAATTTTAAACTTTTTTTGCATGAATAATAAGGCTGAACTTGTTAAAACCTTGAATAAGTCTTTTTGTGGGAATAATTTTGTTTTATTAATTTCAGAAAAATTTGATCTATTACTATTTATAAAAATGTGTTATAGGTACCAATATATTTCTTCAAATTTATAGGAAAAATAACAATGTATAGAATGTATAGGGCAAGTAAAGCAAATTTTGAGGGTGTAAAATAAAAATTATAGCAATATTTCGAAGTGTACATTTTTAAACTATGTTTTAGTTTATTTTTTACTTGCATGACCATTAAAATTGTTAACGAGGAGCTGTTAATTCTCTTTTTTAATTATAGGAATTATTTTTGTTGTCCGTTTTTGCATTAAAAAACTCCACATAATCAAGCTACTAATTCCATCTCCATTTCCCGTTTAGCTGCAACCCAATAGCGCCGCGGGATCTGGCGCCCTGGAGCATGATCCGTGCTGCCTGTACCGTCCCAGTTGGTCCGCCCAAGGCGCTGGCGGAGCAGCTACGTCCTCTGGCAGCAACGGAACCAACAACATCCAGCTGATCAGCAAGGCGCAGCAGTGTCCAGGACCTCTGCCACTGGGAGTGGCGGTCATCGATATGGCAGTGACTCTCTATGGAACCATCTTCCCCAAGGTGGCCAACAAGCATAGGCTGCAGATGCTGGAGCACTTTGCCGAATGCATCCGCCAGGCGAAGAGCAGTCGTCAGGAAGCCGTCCAGATGAACATATTTACGGCTCTGCTTTGTGCGCTGAAGAATCTGACCGATAGCAAGACCAGTTTGGGCCAGGAGGATGTTAGAAAGAGTGCCACGGCATTGGTAGTTGCTTCGTTGACAAGTGCCAATTCCACCATAAGATGTGCGGCTGGAGAGGCTCTGGGAAGATTGGCCCAGGTGGTGGGAGATTCACATTTCACCGCGGAGTTGGCTCAAAATAGTTTTGATAAACTGAAATCGGCCAGGGATGTCGTCACAAGAACGGGTCATTCGCACGCCCTGGGATGCCTGCATCGCTATGTGGGTGGCATGGGCTCGTCGCAGCATCTGAGCACCAGTGTATCCATCCTGCTGGCCCTGGGCCAGGATAGTGCATCGCCCGTGGTGCAGGCTTGGTCGCTCTACGCCTTGGGGCAGATTGCAGACTCTGGAGGACCGATGTTCCGTGGCTATGTGGAGGCCACGCTGACGCTGTGCTTGAAACTCCTCCTCACCGTTCCGCATGCCCATGTGGATGTGCATCAGTGTGTGGGACGCGTGGTGAATGCTTTGATCACCACCGTGGGACCGGAGTTGCAAGGAGGAGGTGGACCGGTGGCCAGTATGAGGGGATCCTTCCTCTGCTCAGCGGCCCTGCTTCAAGCACACGCCGATCCGCTAGTGCAAGCCGAGGCCATTGGTTGCCTGCAGCAGCTGCATCTCTTTGCCAGTAAATCCCTGCAGTTGGAGGAGCTGGTGCCCACGTTGGTTGGAATGCTGGCCTGTAACTACTTCATACTGCGCAAGGCTTCCGTTTCCTGTCTGCGGCAGTTGGCCCATCGCGAGGCCAAGGAAGTGTGTGACCTAGCACTGAACATTAATGCCGAACAACTTCCAGACTTGGTGATTACCGAGTACGGACTTCCAGGATTGCTCTTCTCACTTCTGGACACCGAAACGGATGCCGAGATGCTGAGGAACATTCACGATACACTCACTTCAATGCTGCAAATGCTGGCTGCAGATAATCTGAGCTCCTGGTTGAGTCTCTGCAAGAATGTGTTAACCGTGGCGGTGGAAGGAGGACTCAACGATGATCCCGCAGGCGCAGAGCAAGGCAAAAGCAAGGATGCTGCGGGAGAAGATGAGGAAGAGGACGAGGAGGAGGAGTATGCGGATGATGTAACCGAATACCGGGCGGAGGAGAACACTTCCACCCACCCGGCAGTGCAGCCGAGGTGGCCGACTCGTGTTTTTGCCGCCCAATGCGTCCGGCGGATCATCGCCAGCTGCGAGGCAGCCAGCTCCGTGCACTTTGATCTTCTGCAGGCCAAGGAACAGCAACTGATTCGCTCCCGCGGGCGACTATCTCATTCTACATTTGGCCGAGCTTATTCGAATGTCCTTCATGGCCGCCACCTCGGATTCGGATCAACTGCGGCTAGAAGGCTTGCGCACTTTGCAGGAGATCATCGATCGATTTGCCAACGTTCCGGAACCAGAGTTCCCTGGTCATCTCCTCTTGGAGCAGTTCCAGGCTCAGGTGGGCGCGGCATTGCGTCCCGCTTTTGCGCAGGATACGCCCTCCCATGTGACCGCTGCAGCTTGCGAGGTTTGCTCAGCATGGATTGGCTCAGGAGTGGCTCGGGATATCGGGGATCTGAGGAGAGTTCACCAGCTGCTGGTGAGTTCCCTCAGCAAGCTCTCCTCGAAAACCAACAGCACTCAGTTGTACAACGAATCCATGGCCACGTTGGAGAAGTTGAGCATCCTTAAGGCCTGGGCGGAAGTTTACATTGTGGCCATGTTGGGGAATGGAAAGGCTCCAGCTTCCCTTCTGAATCTCCAGTCGCAACAGTCAGGCCTGCAATCCCTGACCAATTTGGAAACGGATCAGGATGTTCCAGACAGCCGGGGAGAGAGTCTTTTGGGATTAGTGCAACCAGAGCTCCACAATCTATCCACTCACTGGTTGAGCGCGATGAAGGATCATGCCTTGCTGCTCCTGCCGGCGGAATTTCAGTCACAACTCCCTCACGATGGAGGCGCCTTCTACACCACGGACACCATTAACTCTTCGAAACCACATTATATGACCAGTTGGCCTCCAATTCTCTACGCCTCTGCCCTGTGGTTAAGGGACGAGGGCTTTGCCCGCCATCAAGATACAAGTGAATCGGCTGCTGAGTCGAATAATAACCAAATCACCCACGGTTCTCTGTCCGCGGATCGCTTCCACATGATCTTTGGCATCTGCATGGAGGCGCTTTGCAGCATGAGAAGTTCTGAGAGACCCAGGAACATTGTGAGTTGCCTGCGGTCGCTGCACAGCATCTTCGATTCGGATTGGGCCAGGAGGCAGCTGGTCAAAGATCGAGCCCTAACCATTGAACTCTGTCACGTGCTGCACCGTCAGATCCTGACGAGAGATGAGTTGCTGGTGCAGCTGCTGTGCGTGGAAATTCTGAAGCAAACTATCCGCGCGGCAAGGGAAGATTTGGAGAGGAAGCGTGACGATAATGCAAATTCCGAGGACGGAAAGGGCGGAGAGCGGCTGGGTGAAGATGACTCTATGCAGCCTGGCAATTCCCATGTCTACGCCGTCCTGGAGGTTTGTCTTTGCCTATTTGTCCGCCAAATACCCACCATGAATCCCACGAGACAGGGAGCTGGTGGCTCCGGCCTGCAGCTGGACTTTGCCTATGCCAAAATGGCCACCGGCTCCTCCTTCTTCTCGGTGCTGGGCGATGACAACGGCCTGCTGGTGGCCAGCGGACTGCAGTGCGTCGAACAGTTGTTGGATCTGTGCACTCCCAAAGGTGCCCTAGCAATCCTGCCCACCGTCCTGTACATGACTACCAGTATAGTTAAGGAAATAGCCAACAAGTCGGCCATAGATAGTACTATTCTGGCAAATACAAGTGCTGTGAAGTCTGCCCTGCAGTGCTTGCGATCCGTTTGCGTCCATAAGTGGGCCAAAGTGGAGGAAACATCCGAGGAATGGCAGCAGTTGCTACAGAGTGCTTTGGCTACTATTGTGGATCTTACGAAGACGGCTGGAGATAACGAGGAGAGGAGAGTCGACGAGGTCACCATGCTTCTGGCCATCACTGTCTTCATCCTGCACACTCCAGCCTCCGTGGTGGCCACGCCATCGCTGCAATATCCCTGCATCAATCACTTCCGGCAGTGCCTGCAGTCGGAGCACCTGTCCGTAAAGCTGCGCTGCATCGAAACCACGCGATCCATCTTCGCGCGGGCGGAACTTAAGACAGCCACTCCCTACATCCACGCCCTTGCGCCTCAGGATGATCGAGTCGTTGTACGCGGAGTCCAGCAAGGTGCCCACCAGCGAGCTGGAGCTGCAAGTCACCCTGGAGAGCATTGTCACCGTGGAGCAGCTCATCGACTTGTCGGAGCCACAGCATCGTAAGTAAAAGAATATTGGGAAATGATAATGTTTGGTCCTTGCTTAAATTTCGGGGTACTCCTGTTGGTCTTTTCAAGGAAGAAAATTATGATACTTTCGGTTAACTTTAGGGGTATATATTATTTTATATTATACAATTATTCCTATGAATTTTAAAAGACTCTAGGTAGAGTTTGAAGTCCATAATAGACCTATGACTAATTTGATTGATTCACTTTGCTTTTGAATTGTTAAGATAACATAAATGTGATTGATAGATGATAGATCAGTCTTAATATTTAAGTCAGCTGGAGATTTGCTGTTTTAACTACCATATTTTCAGGAGTACCCCTTCTTAGAACATAGATTTTAGCGATAACCCTATTCCCGCCTTTCTAGTTGACACAATTCCTTTTCAAACCTAACATTTGCATAACCTTTGCATTTGCCATTAGGCTGCTCTGTCATCCCAATCTATTTTCTTCAAATGTCTCTTCGAACGCAGCCAAAGTATTGATTAAGTAACATACATAAGAAGCTGCACACTCTTGAGACAAGAACAAGAAATACGTTATTATATATTTGCTCTTTTCTCTGTCTTCTCTTTTAATCAACTCACAAATCATTAATAAAACACTATTAACAAAAAATCCGTTAGGAAACATGAACTTGCTACAAGGTAAATAGAAGAGCTCGATCAAAAATTCACATCTTTTATGTCGACAAAGCGTTTCAGATATATAAGACAGTAAAGCTGTAAATAAATATTTTAAATAGTAATTAAAAAATACTATCATTTATTACAAATGATGATATTTCAAGAAATTAATTTAAGCCATCTTAAATCAGTGGCTTACTCAAATAAAATAAATACATTTTATTCTCATTAAATTCATTAGAAAATCTTCTTATTCTCTGAAAACTTTTATTTATGTTGTGTCTACTGTCTTGTACTATTGAAATGCGTCGTATATTGCACACTTGATGTTTGTTCAACGCACCAATCCATAGAATAGCTCAACCATTAGTTTTAAATGGCAAACAGCATATCACGCTTTAAATGTTGCATGTATGAATTAAGATCTAAACGAATGGAGTGTCATGTCTCTGTGAATGAATGTTTAGTTTCCAACCCTTAAAACAAACTTAAGTATTAATTTTTACCACACCGCCTTTCCACAGACATTCAAATGCTGACCCTGTTGGTTCCTGTGCTCATTGGATTCCTGGCCGAGCCCAGTCGACTCCGGACGCTGCCCAAGTACCAAAGGCAGCTGCACGACCAGGCGCTGCAGTGGCTACTCAAGATCGGTCCCAAATATCCGCAGGAGTTCAAGGCCCTGATGGGACAAACACCTGAGCTGCGACAAAAACTAGAAGCAGCCATTCGCAGTCAACAGCAGTCGATTAATATAGCGCAAAAGGCCACCGAGGCGCAGAGGAACCTGCTGGCCAAGCCACAGAAGCCCACGATCAAGCTAAAGACAGATTTCAGTAACTTCCAATGAGTTGATCCACTGGGAAATCGAACAAAAATAGTCCACAACCTGCTAGTGCTATCGTAAAAATGCTTTGCAATGAATTGTTACCGCATGTACAATGGGATGGATCGGTTCTTTTGACATTGAATGTGAGACCTTTGACATCTGATGTAAAGGTTTAATTTTAAAACGGCTCTTATTTGGCAAAACAGCTTTTAGAAAATCAGTCAAGGAAGTTCCGTTTCAATTTTTGTTTAATAAAACACACCGACAAACTTTTCTTTTCGACTGATTGTGCTTTAATCTTTGTAATTTCTTTGCCATTCAATGGGAAGTAAGATTAAATGTAAGATTTGACCTTTACTAACAGAAGCAATAAGTGTTTTAAATTACATTCAGAAACTCGAGCCACCCTAATGCACATCGCTAGGGTACCCCTGCGGTCCGGCATTTGATTTTGCTATGTGTGAAAAACAATGAAAGTACCTACAAGTTTATAAATTATTTGTTAGCTATTGTAATGAATTATTATACAACGCGATATAAAGTAAAATAAAAACTTATAAAGCTTAACTATAAACTAATGTATCTAGTCAAATCTTTTTATGGAACTATATATTCCATTTCCACCTCCTGTTTGACTGTATTCATAGTCACCATCTCGTCTTCGCTGAGTGGCTCTGATTTTAGATTCTTATTTGGGCTCTTTTCGGGACTGCTCAAGAGCGACATTGATGCCCATGCTGGCAAAATCTGGAGTGGGTCGTGGCAAGGACACCAAGGCTGCGGGTAAATCCGAAAACAGCTGCGACTCCAGGCGACTGAGAAGGGTGGTGCGGTAGAAGAGAGCTCGCAACCGCTGGCGAAAAAGCTGAATAGCCGGCGCGGTTTCATTATAGTCCAAGTTATTGGTTTCCCTGCCCTGTTTGCGGCAATCTCCGGATAGAATGCACATGGCCCGGAACCCCATCATGGTGGACCAGTTGGGCGGTAGAAGTGGACTTTTTGAATCACTTTTCTCATCGGGCAGGTTTCTCATCATGTTATTGTAGCACCTAAGCAGTTCGTTTGGCATGCAAATGTTCTGTAGGAGCGAGGGACGGATTGGCGGCTTATATGCAAGAGCTCTGACCACGCACGCAAGGTTTTGGGCGTCTTTCGGAAGCGGGAAGATTGTCGGAATTGTAAGTGGCAAATTGTAGCTGTATTTGAAAAACTCGCCGAGTTCTATGTCGACTTTCGAAAGCCTAGTCGCAGTGTCTGCCTTTCCATCGATTCTAGCCTTTTTAGCTTTGGGTTTTCGTACCCGTGACCCTTTAATCTGTTCGGCTGTAACTAAGGACTCAGGGTCCTCTTGCCACTCCTGCAAGCGCTGCGCCCAGTTATCGGAAGTGACGACCGGCACCTTTTTTGAACGACGACGCGGCAAGTCCTCTACTTTGGCATTGGGATTCTGTTCCAGGAACTTCTTGATGACCAGGAATCGCGTTCGACAGCTAGTGCGCGAGTGATTGCCCAGGAACGTGGCGCAGTTTAGCCACTGGGAGGCCCCGTGCTGGGTGACGAAGCTCATCAGCCGGGTGTCGTCCTGCACCGACCAGGAGTCCGTCTTGTTGCGCTGCGCCAGAACATTGTGATAGCGAGTCCGCAGCTGGGCCAAAGATCGGTTTGGGAAGAGGGAGCGCGGAAAGCAGTGAAACTTGCCATTGTACTCCTCCACGGCGGCGAATAGCATCATGTCCTCTTTGGTGCTAAAGGGCTCTGAAATATTAGAAAAGAAATGAGTGATAGAAATAAAAGCTATATTATAAGTAATGAGTAGACCTCGGATTTTGCATAATTGCATATTTCTTATAGGATAAAGATAGATTAATTCTGAAAACACGAAAGTTGTTTTTAATAAAAATATAGTTTAAAATGAATAGCATATTTGCAAAATTAAAAATTTGAGCCTCCAGTTGCTTGCAAATATTTTACATATTTTATGCTTATATTTTTTGCATATATTTTGCATATTTCCAATATGGATTCGAATTTAGTACATTTGAAAAATATGACACCTACCTAGAAATGTGGATAAAAATCTGACCAAAAATGGACAAATATGCAAAATCCGAGGTCTAGTAATGAGAATATGAAGGATACCCACCGCGACTGATGCTGGGATGCAGCACATAGTAGTAACGTCCTATCAGCGTCGACTTGGACTTGTCCGGGAAGTACTCCGCTACCTTCCTCCAGTTAATTACGCCGTTTGCCGTATTCCTCTCGGCCAGCTCTCGTAATCGTTCGTTATCCTCGTCGCTCCAGCGGTTGCTGCCCTTGGGCTCCAGCAGATGACGCAGGGCGGTGATGAAGCGTACGAAGCACTGGTAGTCGGAACGCATGCTTAACGACGCGGCAATCAGCTCCCAGTTCTGCAACCGGTTGGCAGAGGCCACTGCCAGCAGGGTCTCGTCCTCCTCCACCGACCAATCGTCGCGCTTAAGATCTGGTCTCAGGTAGACCCGCCACATGGCCTCGCAGCTGTACGGAGAGTGCCGATACTCCAGGTCCAAAGTGCTGATCTGGTTCCAGTCGATCCGGAAGCTGCTGTCCGCCGTCGCCAGCAGACTGGCCAGTGTTTGTAGGTGCCGTTCGGTGGGCTTCCGCTTCAGGCTGCCGCTGGGCATTCCGTTTATCCTGTGACTGCTGTGATCGAGTAACTGCAGAAATGAATATGTATATATGTTCTTTGGTTTTGATTTGGCCTGCTCACCTGTTGCTTGATCCCCATGATCACGTTCTTCTTGTCCAGCAGCGTCCACACGTGACGGGAGTGCATGTCGAAGTCGGTGGGAAACATCTCCGTGTGGCAGCGCGCCTCGTAGTCCTCGTTGTTGGGACAGCTCCGGCCGTCGATGTCGCGGAAGAAGAGGTTGCCCTTGAAGCGGAACGTGCCCTTCCGCAGGATGGCCCCGCTCAGGTTAAGGTTAAGGGAATCCGGTCCGAATTGGGAGCGTGGCCTCAGCCGGCGCACCAGGATCTCCTCGTTCCGGGCGAAGCGTTCTCGAACTGTCTGCAGCATGGACAGAATACTGGAGCGGACTTGGAGAAGGCGTCGCTGGAGCTCCTGGTTGAGCAGCAGTGCGTTGGTGTCACTCGGTTCCGCGGTGGTCTGCAGCAGGGCGGAAATCTCGCCCAGCAACTGCTGCTGGTTCAGCCGCAGATCCTCCACATCCATCGCGTGCGATTTGTTTTGATTTCGTTAAATTAAACAATCTTTGTTTTTGTAAATACAATATGGTCATACTGAAAATATCAGACTGCGAACCGATATCGATTGTTGGCTAACAATTTAAAGCAGTTGGTTAGGGGATTCCCCTAAATTTGAATTTGAATTTCGGTCAACAAAGAAACCAAAGCTTGATTCAATCCTGTTAAATGTTATTGAATAAAAGTCAAGATAATCTTTAGCTTTAAAATCAAAAAAGAAATTATATATGTAGTTATTTTTACCTTGCTAACAATTTTAGACAGTAAATCAAAATCAAATGTAATTTAATTTATTTATTTAATTTAAATGCTTTCCACTTTTAGGTGAATGCCATTCTCGGTGGCCAAAGTAAACGAGCGGAGTCCGAGGATTAAAGGAATTTCTGTACGTTTTGATACACCAAACTTAAAGCGACGAAGAAGAACCGCAAGTCCAATCTTGGACTGAATTTTTCCAAATCGAAGTCCAATGCAATTGCGGGGCCCATCGCCAAAAGGCAAATAAGCCATGGGGTGGCGGATATTCACTGCCTCCGGCTCGAAGCGACTGGGATCGAACTTTTCCGGTTGCGGATATATTTCAGGATCGTGATGAATATTGTGAACCGGAATCGAGACTCTGGTATCTTTGTCAAGAATAAAAGATGTGTTGGGAACTTTATACTCTCGATTTGTCTCTCTAGTGAGTAGAGGTAGAATGGGGTATTTTCTCAGGGTTTCTAAAAGAAAATAGTGAATTTTTTAATTTGTATAAATTATAAGATAACATTATGTAACTTACCAGCCAGCACCTGATCCAAATAAGTCATTTCGGCTAGGGCATCATAAGTTATTTCCCCACCTTCCGTGTTACTAAGCACTTTTTCGATCTCCTCCCTCACTCGTTTCTGAATATCCTGATTTAAGGCCAATTCATACAGGCAGAAGGACATTGTACTTGAGGAAGTCTCGAATCCGGCTACGAAGAACACAAATGCCTGAGCAGCCATTTGCTCCAAAGTCAAGCCTTTGGAAAGGTCAATTCCATTGCCTTTTCCAGCCGCCTCTTCGTTCTCAGCACGGAGCTCAATCAGCTGGTCAATGAAATCGTTCCGCTTTATGTTATTCTTTAAGCGATAATCCACGGTGTTCCTCACCGCTGACATAAAGAACTCCGTAACGTCATCGGGAAATATCTTCATACGCAACTTCTTGGCCAACTTTGCATTGGTAAAAAGAAAGGCTTGAATTAGCTTAGGATGTCGACGGCGCTCGAATATCATGCGACCCTTTGCTCGGAACTCGGCATTGGGATCCTGCAGACTGTTGCACTCCAGGCCAAAGGCACACGATCCAATAACATCGGTTGTAAATCGCGCACAGATATCCTTAATCTCCACATCTCCATGATCAACTTTAGCAGTCTTAACAGTCTTATCCATAGAATCGACCAGGAGATCTCCCACCTTTACGACAATTTCCGACATCTGCTTGATCTTACCGGAGGTGAATACAGGTGTCAATTTCTGCCGCATTGCCCTCCACTCCTCACCCTCCAAACTAAAAAGGTGTCCTGTCAGAGGATCATCTCTCGGATTGTTGAAGGCCCCACGATCTTGAAAGTAATTAAAGTCCTTTATCAGCACCTGCTTGATGAGGTCCAAATCCATGATCACGACTGTTCGCTGCAGGAACGTAAACATTCCTGCCAACGGTGTCTTGCCCTTGAACTGATCATATATCCTCTGGTTGATGTCCCGGAAATGGTATTTCGACCCGATTCCTTTCATGTTACCCACGAGGGGCAGAGGAGTCTCATAGGGAATGCCCTTTCGAGCCCAATAGGAGTAGACGTTTAAGTAAAATACTGCTGGCTAGAGCCAAGACCACTCCCAGTAGGATGAATGTTAGCAGCATTTCGACCGGTCACTTTACACTTTTCTTGTTGAAATTTCTTGAGGCAATGATAATTTGGCCGCTAATAGCAATGTTTTATACCTTAACTGGGAGGTCTAGTTCTTATCTTTTCGTATGTATTCATTTAGCAATTTCACTATCAATTTTTAATGACGATTAAACAAACAAACTTACACATAGCAAAAAAAAAGTTTATAATTTAAAAAAATAATAATAATATACAAACTGCACATTCAAATATTTTATTACCGACCACTTTTAACATCATGACTTATAACATCTAACTGATCTTGACCAATCAAATAGTTTCCAGTCTACAACCAACAGCTTAAATAGCTTGACGAGCAAAAAAATAAAACAACTTTTATAGCTGTGTCATCCTACTGACATATAAAACTAATCACGTATTAGTCACCACATAAGGAATTCCTTTTTATAATGTAGCTAGATGTTTTTATATTCTTATCAGCAGCAAGTGCTTTAGTTAAGATTATCTTTTCACTGCGAGTTTGCCCATAAAAAGATAATGTCCACATTGCCTCGCTTTCTTCAGCACTACCAAACATTTTTCCAAAAGAGAGTGAATGAAAAACAATGGTTTGCTGCCTTGTCTATCAGTTTTGTTGTGATCATGTTGAATTACATTTTTAATTAAATGTATTCTGCTGAATAAGTATACTTATTGAAAATACCTACAAAGAAGTATAGTATATTTTGTGACTTCGGTGCGTTTCGATGCGGAAAACTTACCCATCAAGGGATGGCCTTTTTTATAATTAGATTTTTCCTTTTGTTTTATGCACTGATTTATTTACGTATATATTTATTTTATTGATAAATTTAAATAAATATTTTTTTGCTTAGAAAATCTATTGCTGAAACAGAGAACATAAAAGTTCGTTTAAACCATGTTAAGATACAGAGTATGTACCAATATTGGTTTAATTTTTTAACCTGTTTCCACAACGTGAATTAAAGTTCTATAAAAATGTATTGTAAAATGTAAAATGTAATTCTTTGATAGCCCTATATATTTTCCTAATAAAACGAGCACCCCTAATAAAAACCGAGGACCAGCAGAAATTAGCGAATCAGCAGTGACCGATGACACTGCCTATCGCCTATCGCTGCTGCTCGGAAAACAACAAAAGGAAAAACGCGTAGTAGCAGATAATTATAATTAACAAAATTCGCGGTGAATGCGCTAGCATAACATGGACGATGTCCCGGTCAAGATAGTTGAGCGCTACAAACCCCCGCCTGCCGTCTTCCACCTGCCGCAGGCGACCCACAACCGCCTGTCGCAGTTCCGGGAGGATTTCTACACGGATCACCCGGACTACCAGTATGACTTCCATCTGGAGCGGGCGGTGGTGAGTCAGGCGCAGCGCTGGAGCCAAATGCGTCGCCAGCAGCGGGCGGAGCTCGCCAGCCGCCAGGAGCGCCGCAAGGAGGAACGCCAACGGGCGCTGGAGGCCAGGCAGAAGGAGATGCTTGGAGCAGTTGACTATCCCAGTACGGACGACTTGTCGTCGGACGAGGAGGTGCAGGAGAAGGAGCAGGAGCAGCCAGAGAGGAAGAACCCCGAACGGAAGGAGGAGGAGGAGCATCGCCCTCCCGCCTCCACTGAGTCACGCGACTCCTTGCACGAACCAAAGTCAATGGGCGTGTGCAATTTCCACACCATCTTGCAGCCCACCATTCTGAGCACCACCCCGGTGGCTACTCCGCAGACGCTGCACAAGCGGAACAGCTCCCTGAACTACGCGGACTTTGAGTACAGCATGAACTCCACGCCCTTCGACAACATCGAGCTGAAGACCATCAACGATCTGGACATACTCGCCCAGGTGCTGCACCAGACGCAGCTGGAGGAGCGCAGGGATCAGCAGCAACAGCAGGGGGATCAGCATCCAGAGGAGGAGCAGCCCCAACCCCAGGAAGTGCCAGCTCCTGTGGAGCTAACGATGACCACGCTGGCGGAGACCAAAGCGACGCTCGACAGCGTCAATTTCCATGTTCACTGTGATGACGATGAGGGCAGGACGGAGCCCAGCCACATTCCACCCACGCCTCTTTACCCAACGCCCATGTACAGTGCTTCCGCCCAGCAGCAGGTGCATAAACCGGAGCACTTCCAGGTGGGACACTATTGAGTAGTTAGTTAGTCTGTTAGCTGGGTTCTGAGAAAACTATCAGCAGTTTGGATGATACCATCATTACTATTCATAATTTAATTAAGCAAATCATGAACTTGGTTATAGTTTCTGTTTGTTTTTTAAATGTTGTACCAGGTAAGTTAAGTATAACAAGGAGAACGCTTGTATCAATTAATAGACACCCTACTCAGCTAAAGGGAGGGCGAAAGAGAGGGAGAAAAATTTTATCCCCCAATTTTTTTAAAAAATTTAAAAGTATTTCTTTACATTTCGATAAATATTGATAAACACAATAAAACTGTATGTTTTAAATATGTGAAATTTTTATCATTTACTATATTAAACCTTTTCTACGTTGGGATAAATTTAATATTTATGATACCTGAGGACATGGTCGACTCGGCTAGTGATCCTGATCAGGTTTAATATTTAAATGTATGATTTTACGTTTTACATCATTTACTATATTAAACCTATTTAATCTATTTTTTTAAACCCAAAGTAATTTCTTTAATAAATATTTAAATGTAATAACTAGATTTTTTGTTTTTTCATAAACTATATTACCTTTCTTTTGGAAAATGTAATCTTTATAGACATGTTGTTTTCATTGCAGGTGTACCACATGCAGGGCTACAGCCATCAGCCCTTCTACTCCCCGCAGCACCATCCTTTCCAGCAGCAAAACAACTACAATGTCAATGGATTTGGCACGCCCAGCCATTTGATGGTGCCTCCAACGCCTTCCTCCGTGCTGGCCCTCAGCCAGTCGGAGGACGAGGTGGCCACCAAGTCGAGGAGTGTGCCCGACATCCTGCGTGAGCTGAAGACAGAGCTGCAGCAGGCGGAGAAGCGTCGCACCCGCCTGCACAGCCACAACGAGGAGCAGCAGTCGAAGATGTCGGTGGTGGTGGACAGGAACTCCTTCAGGGAGCTGGCTGGACCGGCACAGAAGTTGGCCCAACGCATCAGTACAATGGGTTTCCCTCTGGAGCGGGTGGCAAAGGTGGTTAGCCTGTGCGGCATCGATGATAAAAAGGTCAGTAATTATGATAAACATTTGTAAAGAACATTCCCTAAGAATCTTTTCTACACCGCAGATAATCGAACACCTCATCCCACTGGGCGAGCTCTTGGATTTGGGCTTTGACGAATCGAAAATCTCGGCTGCGCTTCTCAAGTTCAACAATAACAAGGACAAGGCGCTGGACTATCTAATCAACTAGATCAATTTAGGAGCAAACCTTTTGATACGGCCAGCTTTTACCCCGCATCCTCCGCCCAAGCAGCTCACACCACGTTTACTCCTCTAAATGTATTTTTAATTATTACAAGTTCTCGTGAGATATTCCTTGCTTAAGTTGGGAGTTGAATGCTTCAGAATCCTCAGCAGCAGAATAAATATAAGTCCGTAAAGTTAGTCAATCCCCATCCCTTTCAGTTCATGCCCAGCATCAGTAGGTTGATGGCGTGCTCCACATTGCCATCGGAAATCTCCAAGTAGCTGACGTTTTGGGTGTGGTTAATGAAGCCCATGGCGGCCATGGTGCGCAGTTGTTCGGTGAACCGATGTCGGCGATAGCAGCGGGGCAGCACATCGCTGTCATCTCCGCCGTCGTCCTCGTCATCCACATCGTCGGCAGGAGCTGCTGGGGCTACTGGCTCTGGGATAGGTGCTCCTCCCCCGGACTCCACCTCCATGTTCTCCACAGGCGGTGGTTGCTGCTGGGCCAGGGATTGAAAAGCGCGGGCCAGCTCATTGCGGAAAAGATCCGAGGAGATGTAACCGCTGCTGCCACTGGCTCCGCCGCTGCTGCTTGCTGCTACCGTTACCGTTCCCGCCGATCCTCCTGCTAGTGGCGCCGAAGTGGTTCTGGGCCTCTCATCGCCCTGCAGAGCCTCGTCCGCATTCCTCTGGGCAATGCTCGAAAGTGAGTTGAACGAGGTCACATTGGCCAAAGCGTTGGCCAGCTGCTGGCGGCTGATCTGCCGTATGTTGGCCATCTCATCGCGTCGATTGGCAGCCGCGGCAGCTGCCACGGCGGTGCTGCTGCTGCCACCACTGCTGCTGCTGCCTGCTCCCAGGGAGTTCTCCTCCTCGGAGGATGTGGTGGACTCCGAGGCAGCCTGTTCTTGAACTGAAAGAGAAAAATAAGTTATAAGATTAAAAGAGTAAGTAGTTTACAAAACTTACACTGCGTGGCGGAGCTATTCCTGGCCAGCTCCTTGCGAATGGTGTCCACAATAAAAGGAGCCGCCTCGCAGATGAGCGGGTAATCCTTGACCAGATTCTGGACCACCTCCGGCTCGTGCAGCATGTTAAACAGCACAGAGTCGCGGATCAAAGCCTGGGCGCCCAGATTGCGCCTGAACTCCGGATACTCGGCGAGAATCTTCTGAAGGATGTTGAACCGCGAGGTCACGCTGATCTGCAGGTGCGAGGTCAGCGAAAAGAGCTCCTGGATGTGCTTCGTGTTGATCTCTGTGGCCGCTGGCGGCACATACGGCGTGTAGCGCTTGACCTTCCGGAAGCAGTGGATAACCGCGTTGGGCTGCAGTCCCGTCCGGCTGAGCGTGTCCGCGTCCTCCAGCACGCGTCCGTGGTGGATGATCTCTGCAAAGTGCGCAGCAGATGACTTAGCACAAAGTAGACAATGGGCAGCAGTTTCGCTCGCAGGGTCACTCACCCAGTTCGCTGGCGTCGAACTGCAGCTGCATCTCCTTGGTCACCACCGCCTTCAGGTAGGCCACATCCCGCTCCAGGTCTATGTTGTGCAGCGGATGCACATCGCTCAGCTTGTTCTTGAGCAGCGCGTACAGGGTATGCATAGTGCGATCAAGTTGTTTCGGCGTAATATTTAATATTCGTGCACTATTTCGTGGGTGATTTTGTTTTGTTTAAAGGCCGGAACTGGTTCCAACGAACCGCCTTGGCCACAGGGTGACCCTTGCATGCACCGATTCCTAAATGCAGACCTATCGAGCAACGATAGTAATTCAAAAAGAACGTTTTAAAATCTTAAAATAATTTTAAATACGAGTCCTTTTTAAGATAAGATTAAGCCTCCAAAACATGGGTTACCCAGGATATTACATTTATGCCTGTCGCTTTTTGACAATTTATCCCAAATATTCGAGTTGTAAAATGAACTCAAACGAGACACAAACTGAGCAAAGGCGTAGGGTAACGCTTCCCGCAGCAACACAAAATAAACCTGAAGAACCCAAAAAAAATGCGAAACCCGAAAATACCGAGGATGCCAAAAGGATTTCTCATAGCGAGTTTCAAAAGAGAGTAACCACGGATAGGAGCGATGAGCCGGTGTTCTGCTGCCAATTCGAAGTGTTCGGGATAGTGCAAGGTAGGCGCGCCCCTCCATGAGTATGAAAAATCATAGTAATTGATAATCATACCCCTACAGGCGTTTCCTTTCGAATGGTAAGAACTTCATAAATAATGCAGGCAATTTTCAACCAAAATCGCCTAAATTTCTGAACCATTTGAAAAATCTTGAATTTTGTATCATTGTAAATATATTCCTTCAACAACCCGCCTTCAAATTTCTAGTACACCTTACGAAGAGCCCAGAAGCTGGCAGTTCGGGGCTGGTGCAAGAACACCAATGAAAACACGGTGAAGGGGGAAATTCAAGCGCATCGACATTCCTTTGAGTCCATGTAAGTAGGTTTTTCGAAGCCGATAACGGTGTTATTTAACGGATGTTTTCTACAGGCGCCTCTGGCTAAAGCACACCGGCAGTCCCACCAGTCGAATCGACAAGTGCATCTTTAGTGAAACCTCTGAACTCTCCGAGTTCACTTACGGTAACTTTTCGATTGTGGTGGATTAGTTTGTTCCTCGGCTTTGGGTCCATTTTAAAACTGAAGAAATTGTAGTATTTGTGTACTGACTTATTAACGGTTTTTTAGGTTTTGAATATGGATTAAAAATTGTTTTATAGGTACAAGTTGGAAAATGTAATTTTCACTTTTAGTGTTACAGAAAACTTTGTTTATTAAATAAAACATAACTTTTTCAAAAAATGAGTAAATCATTGCTTAATAATAATACAAATAAATATTACCTAAAATATGAAGAATAAAAAAAGTTAAAAGTTTTAAAAGATTTCTTGGTTTATACATGCATTATTTATCAAATAGAATTATAGATGCAAAATTAAAAATTCAAATGTTTAATTAAATTGTATCTTTGTAATTGAAAACTAATTTTAAAGATTTTGTCATGAATTTATAATTCGATTAATTTGTTTAAACAAATATCGACTAGTAAGACCGCGCATTGAAAAGGGCAGAATCCCACTGGGTTGGGTGGTTTTAGGTGGGCCGGCAAAGTGAGTGGGTCGTAAATTCTTGTTTAATTCCAATCCAATCGCTGAAGCAACAGGTTGTAAAGCGGCATTTCCTATTTGTCTGTTAAATAAGTGAGATTATTTCTTCAAGTACTCAAGAAATCAATAAAATGGCCTGCACCAAGTTCCTAACTTTCAACAATGGAGAGAAGATGCCCATAATTGGCATCGGCACCTGGCAGGTAATTATAGTCACGTTTTATGTTTAAATTCTATAAATTATACCTAAGTGTTTAATAGATTCTTACCATTGTTTTTTTAACTAATGAACGACCTTGAAAAATAGCTGACACGTCATTTAAATCTCTTGGAGTTTCCGATGCAATCAACAGAATCTGTTTGTGCTGGCGACATTAGACCGGTTTTTAAAAACAAACAATAAACCTTTATTCATATGTAGCTGGGTTTAGTGGGTTTGACTTTCTCTGGTCGTAAAAAAGTGGGAGGGGTCTATAGTAGTGTAGATAGTATAAAATCTCTGAATATATATAATCACAACCACTAAACCACATTTTCATCATCAAACCATAGGCATCCGATGAGGAAATTGAAACCGCAATCGATGCAGCACTGGAAGCTGGCTATAGACACATAGATACAGCGCCAGTCTACGGCAATGAAAAAGCCATCGGAAGAGTCCTCAAGCGTTGGCTGGACGCCGGAAAAGGTGAAGCGGGAGGAGCTATTCATTGTCACCAAGGTGCCACCTGTCTGTGAGTATATTTTACCTATTTATGGTTGGATCCATTTTGATTGAAAAATCTCGAATATCTATAAATAACTCCCAAGAACTTGACCATAACCGGGTGGAACAAATTCTAGAAAAGCATACCCACAGATTATAGAATCATGGAGAAAGCATTTCACCATAACTAGCAATGTTTTTGATGTTCTGGAAAAAATCCCATTGACAAGATAAGATTATGCTAATATTTGTTTTTCCAAAATACCAAAACAAACTTTTTCAACATTAATATGATGGATTTTAAAATAGGTTTATTATCAGCACATTGCAATTTGACATGATGGATGATCAAATTGTGAAATATAAATTAAGTTGTAATAAAAAAGAATATTTATTAAGTCATTATTTACTCGTCCTTTTAGCCAACCGCCCTCACGAAGTGGAGCCCACCATCAAAAAGTCGCTGGAAGATCTGCAGCTGGAATATGTAGACTTATATTTGGTGCACACTCCCTTTACCATCCTGATCAACGAGGACGGCAGCTTCAAGGTAGTTTAGTGCGGTAATATTTTTGTATATGTATAATTAATATCTTTAACTTGATTATACATTTTTTAAGCTTGACAAGGATGGCCTAATGGAGGTCGATGTGACCACCAATCACGCCGCCATCTGGGTTGCTATGGAGTCTCTGGTGGAGAAGGGTCTCACGAAATCCATCGGTGTGTCCAACTTCAGCAAGGATCAGGTGGCCCGCCTGCTAAAGAACTGCAAAATCCGCCCGGCCACCAACCAGATTGAGCACCATGTTTACCTGCAGCAGCGTGATTTGGTCGATTATTGCCAGTCCGAGAACGTCACGGTAACCGCCTACTCCCCACTGGGGTCCAAGGGAATCGCCAAGTTTAACGCAGGCGCTGGCATCGTGAGGGATCTGCCAGATCTGATGGACATCCCGGAGGTCAAAGAGATCGCTGCCGCCCATGGCAAGACGCCTGCCCAGGTGCTGCTCCGTTGGATCATCGACACTGGTGTGGCCGCCATTCCCAAGAGCACCAATCCCGATCGCCTCAAGCAGAATCTGGATGTCTTCGACTTTGAACTGACGGCGGAGGAGGTGGCCAAGTTGTCCAGCCTGGATAAAAACATTCGCGTCTGTGACTTTGCCTTCTTCAAAGGGTATAAAAACGTATGATAATTTAAATGGCTTTATTTAAAGGATTTTCTTATTTTCCTTGCAGTGTGGAAAGACATCCGGAGTTCACCTTCAAGAATCAGTACACCAACTAAGCTACATAACAGTTTTAAAAGGCGTATAAAAACAAGGATATATTTTTTACAAAACATTACTTCATATAGTATGGAAAGAATGCACGATAAGTTAATTTGGTAAAATTTTTCAAACAATTATTTGAAGCCAGACTGCTGTCATTATTATCCACATATATATTTAAATACTCTGTGTTTTATGTTTGATACTTTATAAATTATTTAAATTCGAGTTCCTCACTCCTTTTCTTTGGCATTCAACAGGTGAAATGTTTTGGTTTTGGTTACGATTTTCAGCTCAACAGGTTTTCCCCCTGCCACTGACTTTCCATCTGTGATATCGTTCGATTTTTCTGTGTTGTCGTTAACGGTTTCGTTGACCCTGCAAGAAGCGTTTGCGCTGGAAAATAACTTTCAAATTAAGAAGAGCTTGCATTCAGCGGAGGTTACAGTTAGTATAGAAATATATTTGCAACACATTTTGTATCTAAGATTAAACAAATCACAAGTTTACAATAAGCAATTAGTAGCGAGCACGATATCGGTACTTAAAGGCTTTGGAAATGTTTCGCGACTACAAACAATTCGAGGTACATATTGTATGTAAAAACATAAGATATAAAGGGGCGAATGCTATTCAGACGGAATCTTGAATACTTAAAAATTTTAGTATAAAACTGAACACAATTTGCAAGGCGAAAGGATTAGCAACTGAGAAACTATCAACAATAGTTTAAGGAAAATGCAGCCTAACTCTAGGGTGTGATATTCGGGCCAATCGCATTTTGATTGTCAGGTATTTGGCCACACAGCTTATGTTAGTTTGCAGTTCGAGTATTAGAAGGAAATTCGTAGTTTCGGCGCCATGCCAACTCACGTGGTCCGTGTCTCCTCATCGGTGCTGTTTCTGCAATACATAAAAGCACTTTTAGTAATTTGTTTTACACAAAAAGGGTGAAGAAATCTAGTGAAAGCAAGCCAACAAAATCACTCACTTCAATCCTTGGGCCGCACAAGTCTGATAAAGTTCATACTTTGCATGCAAATCAAACGAATTCAACGAAACCGCTTCTTAAGTCTAAGTTACCTGGGCTCTTGATGGCTGCGCATGGCCAGAGTGGCCACCTCGAAGAGACCGATGAAGAAGCAAAGCATCAAGGGTCCAAAGATGGCTCCCTGCCAGCCGATCCAATACATGCCCCCGGCAATGGCCAGGCCATTCAGGTACGGATGTCCACCACTGAAAAGTAAGTTAAATATAGTAAATAATATAGTAAATATATCAAAAAACAGACTCACCCTTTGAGATCAGCATAAATGGCCGTTTCAAAAGACGAGGGCACAAAGAACTGGAGCAGAAACAGTATGAGTCCTGCATAAAACCTATCCTGGGCGAGCCACAGCTCCAGAAAGGCTGGCACTGCACACCAGTAACTGCCGAGGAAAGGAGCCGCCGCCAGCATGGCCGCCAAGGCGGAGGGAAGGAATACTATCCGTGCACCAAATACCGTGTGCACCAACCAGGTGAACAAGCCGGTAAATGTGGAGCACCGGAACATTGAGATTAGGACCACTGTAATGGAGTTCTCCAGGGCATCGGCGATTTTAATACCCGAACTGGAGTAGCCCAGGTATTTGGTGATTTGCAGCGGCGCGTACTTCTCCTGACTGCTCGAGAGCAGATAAAACAGGGCCGTAAAGAATACAATCTGGATAGAGTAAGAATGAAGTTATTATTTTATTTAAAAGGTATTCAAAAAGCAATCTCTTACCATGTCCAATATGAATTCTATGCATGCCTGTCCGCCAGACAGCACAAGAGATAGAATTTCTCCGGTCACGCCCATAATCATCGAGAGATTGGTGCGAATGATGTGCCACAAGGACTCCGCAACCTCAAGGATCGTTTGCGTATTGCTCTGCGCCCAGCCGATAATGCCCTGTTTAGCCACTAAAACTAGCTCTTTAAAATGTCCTTGGTTAAATAAACGGCCGTTGGTTAGCAGATGCAACACAGAATGAGTTATTTCGTAGACGCAAACGAGTGTTACGGGATGGATAAAGCGAGCAGGAGCTCAACAAAAGCCCTCGAACCCATGCACAAGCCCCGAAAATGAACTCAAAAATAGATTAGTAAGAAGGGACGAAAGAAAACAGGAAGAAGCTCTCGGGAGGCTAGCAAGGGCTTACCTGGATTGTCGACAATCTCCCCAAATGTGCTTTTCAGCGCATCCGTTGGCACGCGCGGACCATACGAAGTGCCCGCCTTGTTGAAATCGATCCAGTACTGGATGAGTCTGTCCCACACGTCAAGGATTTGCTCCTTCAGCTTGGTGGCGTGCACCTTGTCAGCATCCGCCAACCAGTCGTCAATGTAGGTCTCAATCTTACGGCGACCGTAGTGGTGTGCATTATCTAGAGCATCATCGATGGACGATTGCATGTTTGCTGGCAAAATATCAATTAGCTCAGGCCGATCTGTGATCGTCTTGTTAATTAGATCCTTGCCCAGGTAAGCAACCTCAATCGTCTCCGAGTAGATGTTCACGCAGAAGAACACGCTCAAAAACACAATGATGAGCAGCATGAGGATGATCATTAGGATGGAAGTGACTGACTCAACGGAGGACTTCAACGAGTCCCGCACGATGGTGTTGATCTTGTAGTTTAGTTCCAAAACACCAGGCAGACAAAGCGGCAGAACGGCGGAGTGGTGTTCGATGGCCCACGACTGCAACATTAATATTATATTAATTTAATATAAGAACATAGTTCTTTGAAACTCACTCGCAGTGCTGCGTAAACTTCGCTGATTTTGTTACAAGCAAACTGGGTGATTCCCGTATAAGCTCCCACGGTGTAGATGAGGTGCAGCAGTACTGGAACAGCTGCTAGTATAAACATCCAGACGTTGCGATAAAGGAAAGTGCCTAGACAGGCGTAGAACAGCAGCTTAAAGAACGTATCGCTCTGGTGGCCGGTAGCTTCTGCTCCCGGCTTGGCATCGAATGTGTCCGTGGAGTCAACTGTATCGCTAAGCGATATGTCCTCCACATCCGACTGCAGACCCGGACTCAGTGGCTCACCACTTGGCCTGCCGCAAATGCTAAAGTTGCTCAGCGATCGCTCAAAATCGTTCTTGTCGAACAACTTTTGCAGGCGGTGCAGGTAGGATCCCGAGTCCTCTATCGTCTGCAGGTGATATGCCGTGGAGGCTGTTACATACGCCATGACCAGCAGGAAAACCGGCACCTGGAGGGCGCCAAGGAAGCTGCTCAGATAGCCGGCCACCGCTATCCACATGGACTGGCCGGCCACCACGAAATGGGAGCTGTTCTCCGGCTTCCAGAAGAAGTGGACGCAGCTCAAGTAGACTACAACCAGGGAGATGAGCTGTGAAATGAAATTAAATGCGATATTAGAAGACTAACAATACCGGAACACGAATAGTTATTCATTTCTGACCAGTTTTAGAGTTAAGTTTAAATGTGTCTCAAACAATGAGTCACCATACATACCACATACACGTTGAGGAATCCGATAATTTGGACGAACAGGCCGTGCGAAAAGGTTATCCAGTGCCAGAGGGCCAAAAGGAAACCCTTCGGCGCGTACAGGACGAGCAGCTTGATGCACCCGGCCACTCCGCATCCGGCCAGGAGTAGCTGCCAGTGCTCGCAGAGCCAGCCGATCAGCAGCCGACCGCAGTGCTCGGTGGCCTCCAGCGGGGACAGGCAGATGGAGACCAGTACATTGGAGTCGCGCTCCTCCAGTCGCTGGAACCAACCGTTCACGCTCTCCGCCAGCCGCCGTTTGAACGGGAAGAGCACGGCGCCCATGAGGAAGGCCCACAGCAGGGGGCGAACGAAGGGTCCCAGGATGAAGCAGACGGCCACGAAGGCCGCCACTCCAGCGGCGATTAGGAAGTTGTACATGGCGGCGCGGAAACTCTCATGGTTCTGGGACCTCATCCGCAGCAGTCGGTTGAGTACGCTGTCGAAAGAGCGGTCCCTCCGGATGGGAATCGGCTCGGAGCGGTTCATATCGTTCTTTTTTTTGTTTCTAAGAGTAGCTAGAATCTAATAGTATTGTAGTTAAACCGGATTAGAGCTCCGTGACCATGTGGGGGGCACACCCGAATGACTATTTTCGGTACCGCTGCGCTCGGGGAAACTCACTTTTCGCGTAGTGTTCCTGTGGTCAGCAACAGATGATTGGCATCGGGGGCTGGGAGGGAATCCGGCGCAGCTGGCGGAGTTACTAGTTTCCGCAACTGGACGTGGTCATCGGGATCGGGCGGCAGCAGCTTCCCACTCGCTTCGTGAGGGGCGGGGGAGCGGGCACACATAAACAAAAATACGTCGATTCGGCCAATTACGTCAGGCGGGCAGGGCTGTGAAGTTTGACGCTGTGCAACACTGGCAGAGAGCCAATATACAGTAGACATTGGCTATGTGAGTTATATAAACAAAATCCAAATAAAGAAATAATCTAGTTTTATTTTTAAATTCATAATCATTCGTTTTATTGAATATTTAAATATAAAACATAAAGATCTAGTAAACGGATTACACTTCCCATTCCAAAGGTAAATCATAATCTGAATATTATATAAACTAAGTTATGAAAATATTATGTCCTACTTATTTATAAATACCTTTGATATATTCAATTTGTTAGTATTGCCAAAACATTCGTGAGTACACACTTAAAGAGTGTTCACCGTAATCAAAAAGTGCTGCGTTTTCTAGCACTACCCCTTTTCAAAACAAAAACCGACGCCATGGAAAGTAAGCGGGACTAAATTTATTTTTATTACAAAATTACATTACAAATTAATTGCAGGTCTATCGCTGCAGCAGTTGATCGATCTGCAAAACATCCAAAAGGAGCTAAACAGCAACAAGGACGTCTACCTAAAGCTTTACCGTCAAGTGCTCAAAGACAAATTCAAAACAGAACTAAACAATTTGGTATGTGAGTCGTACAATAACAAAACGGAGCCCTATAAAAATATTGGTAATCCCACAGGTGCGAGCTGATTTCGACATAGTAAAATCGGAACTAAAAGTTCCACAATTGCCACCCCTCCCTATTGAAGACGAGTCAACGCAATCCACGACACAGGTATGTTTGTATAATACGCTTTGGCAGTGTTTATATTTAATTTGGTACTTTCACAAACAGTTCAGTGATGTGGTGAAGGACTACGACTTTACCATGGACTGCTTGTCCTTGCTGTAGGACTGCTCCGATCGATCCGTGGTGCTGTTCAGCCAATATCCATGCAGGACGCGATATGCGTGCTGCAGGCACTCGAAGGATGGCGATTGGCTCTGTAAATAAGTAAATAAAAAGAAGGATAATAATAAGGATAATCCAAGCAGACAACTACTCACATTGAAAAGGGGTACAATGGGCCGCTTTTTGAACTGGCTCCCTTTCGTTCGTAATATCAGCATATACTTCACGTCCAACTATAAGAGTAATACAACGAAATAAAATATAATAACTATAAGGTAACTAACTAACAAAGCCAATCTACTAGCGAAACATGAGTTGTGATTGACTCCAAAACACAGCATTTATACAAATTACCCATCGATTTTCCTGGGCATGTTCTGAAAAGCAATGTAGGATGCCAAAAGCTTATAATATAGCAAGTTATATATGTGTGCAGTTCCTACATCTTCAATGACTTCGTTTAGCACTATGTCCTGGATGTGTCCTCGCTGGACGCAGAGGACGGACTCCCTGCCGAAGGACCGCACCGTCTCCGTCTGCAGCGCCATGTCCCAGCTGTAGAACAGCCGCTCCGCCTGCACCAAATTCAGGGTGGAACGGAGCATCAGGATGGCCACGGAAACACAAGTAACCAGTGGGTACAGGATTCTGGGCTGCAGGATGCCAAACTTTCTGTCCTTCAATCCGCAGACTCCGACAAAGTAAGCGATGGCCAGGAAGAGGAGCAGCAGCAGCCGGCGCAACTTGCGCTGCAGCTGGATTCCATGCTGTCGGTTCACCAACTCGATGCGCACCACATCGCCGCCACAGTGCTTGATGCACAGCTCCAAATCGGCGTCCACGGCTCCCTCATACTTGGCTTGCCGGCTGTAATATCTGTGGATCGTTACTTGGGGTTCCATTTTTAGAGCTGCACGAAAAATATGTGTTTTGGCGATACTATCGATGTTTTAAATAATGTGGATTTACCTGTAACCATCGATTAATTAACGAAAACTATTCCCTAAAATAAATGGGGGATTCTAAACTGTTAAATTGCGGAATTGTAGAATTCGGTTAGGAGTTCTGTACAAAGTCAACTTTCAGAAATTTCAGCAATTTAACAACCGCTTCGTTGTCGATTCGTTGAAAACTATAGTTGTCACCTTATTAAACAAAGTCATGCAACTCTGTAATATTTTAGTGTTATTTATTTTAAAGTTTTGAACAGTAACATACCCTCAGAAACATAATTTAATAACTTCACCCGTTGAACAATTAAGGGAATACCCAGATTGAATTGTTAAATCGTTGAAAATTAGTCAGCTGTTTATTATCTGCAATTCAAATTCATCAGGATCCATTTAGGTTCGTCCCCTATATTGCTGAAACTTTCTGTTGAATTTTCAACAATTTACAAATAGTTTAGGGAATTCCCAGGCCATATTTATATTGTACAGAAACGGAAAAAAGTTCTATATCGGCATGAGCAATATTTTAAAAGTTTTAATTTTATAAGACAATAATATAAATATCTATAAATAAATATATAATGTAAAATAAATTTTTTTTATAAAAATATATTTTTTAATTTTTTTACTTGTTAACAGTTTACGACAACTACATTAGGCGTAGAGATAAATAATTTATTTTATATTTATTAAGTAAGAGTACGGTCCCTTTAGTGTTTCTAAATCCAGCTCAAAGAATCGATAACGGCAGGGCTGCACGCGATGCCATATCGAAATCAGCCCTAACCGGAGGAAAAGAATACGTATGCGCTCGTGATTGGTTCGATTTGTACCAATCAAAACGTAACAGCAAATCAAGTCGCGGCAATTCGCCGTCCCGCTCCCACACGCTCGGTTCAGATGCAATAAATAAATAGCACTTTTCTTGCCGGCATTTAGCATTTAACTTTAACCGAGTTCGGACAGCCATCGAAGTTGGAAGAGTCAGTCCAGAAAGTAGTGCGGGATCGTTCACATGATGTGGTGCAAAACTGTTGTTGTGTTGCTGGCGACGGTCGGCTTTATTAGTGCCGAAGTCTACCTGAAGGAGAACTTCGACAATGGTGAGTGCTCGACTTTTACTGCCTCTGCCGCCCCGCATGTGGTCTTGAATGAAAAAAAAACGAAAAGAAAACGAAACGAAAAAAACCCCCGCTTGTTTCCGCAGAAAACTGGGAGGATAACTGGATCTACAGCAAGCATCCTGGCAAGGAGTTCGGAAAATTCGTCCTCACCCCCGGAGCCTTCTACAACGATGCTGAGGCCGACAAAGGTATGTGTCACTCCCTTTTTTTTTTTTTTCCAAATCTTCCATTCCGTTCGTTCTGCCATTTTTATTTTTCGACGGCGTGTTATCTACATATGTGCTTGTGTAGAGAAAAAACCACTACGTGTACGTTTTCGTTTTCGAGTAGCTATAGTAACAGTATACACACTTTTCCTCCCCCCCACCTCCGCTGCTCCGTGGCGCAGGCATTCAGACCTCTCAGGACGCCCGCTTCTACGCGGCCAGCCGCAAGTTCGATGGCTTCTCCAACGAGGACAAGCCCCTCGTGGTGCAGTTCTCCGTGAAGCACGAGCAGAACATCGACTGCGGCGGCGGCTACGTGAAGCTGTTCGACTGCTCCCTGGACCAGACCGACATGCACGGCGAGTCGCCGTACGAGATCATGTTCGGCCCCGACATCTGCGGTCCCGGCACCAAGAAGGTCCACGTGATCTTCAGCTACAAGGGCAAGAACCACTTGATCAGCAAAGACATCCGCTGCAAAGATGACGTGTACACCCACTTCTACACGCTGATTGTGCGTCCCGACAACACCTACGAGGTGCTCATCGACAACGAGAAGGTCGAGTCCGGCAACCTGGAGGACGACTGGGACTTCCTGGCCCCCAAGAAGATCAAGGATCCCGCTGCCACCAAGCCCGAGGACTGGGATGACAAGGTGAGGTGGTGGTTTACTTGACCCAAATGTAGAGTGTAGAGCCGGCACCCAACAAAAAAACCGGTTTAGTTCATTGTTTATTAAACAACAACCCATTACCCATTGACCACCGCAGCCCACCATCGCCGATCCCGATGACAAGAAGCCCGAGGACTGGGACAAGGCCGAGCACATCCCCGACCCCGATGCCACCAAGCCCGAGGACTGGGACGACGAGATGGACGGCGAGTGGGAGCCCCCGATGATCGACAACCCCGAGTTCAAGGGAGAGTGGCAGCCGAAGCAGCTGGACAACCCCAACTACAAGGGCGCCTGGGAGCATCCCGAGATCGCCAATCCCGAGTATGTGGCCGACGATAAGCTGTATCTGCGCAAGGAGATCTGCGTCCTGGGCTTCGACCTCTGGCAGGTCAAGTCCGGCACCATCTTCGACAACGTCCTCATTACCGACGACGTGGAGCTGGCCGCCAAGATTGCCGGCGAGGTGAAGACCACCCAGGCCGGCGAGAAGAAGGTGAAGGAGGCCCAGGACGAGGTGCAGCGCAAGAAGGACGAGGAGGAGGCGAAAAAGGCATCCGACAAGGATGACGAGGACGAGGATGACGACGATGAGGAGAAGGATGAATCTAAGCAAGACAAAGATCAAAGCGAACACGACGAATTGTAAGGACGTTTAGGAAAAATTGCGTCGAAAAATATTCGGTATTTTTTGTATGTTGGTTGCTGCTTTGATGTTCTAAGCAAACGGAAACCACAATTACAATTTGTAAGACTTATAATTTATAAACATACAACTTGTTGTTTTTTATTTCCAAAAATCTGGGCGTGTTAAGGGTGGCAGCGTTTGTTTATCAAAACGGCGGTGCCACGTGAGCAAAACTAAAACAATCGGGGTGGCAACGCCGCAATCATCGTATCTATAACGATTTTTTCTTTGAATGAAAACTGGTTTTGAATTTAATGTTTGTGATTTTTTGTTATGATTTTACAAAGTCCGGTTTTTTGAATCACAAGTAAATACATTAATATATTAAATCAAAGCTAGGTTTATTAAAAAGTAGAGAACCTAAACATAACTTGGGTATTCTATTAAACCGACGTTAGACGTATCACTCCAACTCCAGTTGCTGGTCGCCATCCCGATGCTTGCCCAGAAAGTGCCGCTTTAGATGGTGCTTCTCCCGGAATTCCTGCAGGCAGATTGAGCACTTGTAGGGCCTTTCGTCCGTGTGGCGTCGCCGGTGCTTGGCCAGGTTATTGTTGTCCGAGAAGCTCTTTTGGCAATGTGGACACTTGTAGGGCTTCTCGCCGGTGTGCGTGCGGATGTGGACCTTGAGAGCCTGCTTCGAACGGAAGTTGGAGGCGCAGAAGGGGCAGGAGTGCGGCCGCTCGCCCATGTGGGCGTGGATGTGCACCTGGAGGGCGGACTTGTTGAAGAATCCCGCGTCGCAATACGAGCATTTGTGTGGCCCGTTGCTCTGGCTGGAATCCGGGTGGCTCAGCAGGTGGGCCTGGAGCTGCTGCTCCTGGGTGAAGGTCTGTGGGCAGTGAGGGCACTGGAAGATCCGTTCCTTCATCTCCTGGCATTTGTGCTTGTCCAGGCTTTGGGTATTTGAAAAGACCTTCAGGCAAACACGGCACTCAACGGTGGAATCGCTGGTGTGATAGCAAACGTGCTTGTCCAGATCGGCTTTGAACAGAAAACGCTCTCCGCAGTTTTGGCATACGTGGGAATTGCTGTGGACTCTACGGGATATAGGAAACAATTAAAGTATAGGTGAATCCCAGACTGTGTGCACTTACTTCATGTGTTCCAGGAGGTTTCTTGGGTGCTTGAACTCCTTGATGCAGAGCTCGCACTTGATGGGCAGGTTTCTTCTAGCTTTTGGCTGTCTGCTTGCTCTACTTGTGACTTTTGGTTTGTTCTTTTTGGCAGCAATTATAGGTGAATCTTCTTTGGCAGGTGTGCTCGGGGGAGTTTCCTCAATAAACTCCTCCTTCGCTTCCAGATCTCCGTCAAATAGTTCCTCAATTACCAGGTAGTCTTCGTTCGGTTCCTCCTTGACAATCTTGTGTTTACTTAACGCGGAGTAGAACTTCCTGTAGCTTTCCTCGCATCTTCGTTTGAATCCGTAGGCGGTTCGTGCATCGTGGACACAGGCAATGCAGATTTTTTGCGGCAGGGAATCTTCAGGATCCAACTGGACGTCGGCACATGTCCTGACCATCTCGGCGAGATTTGGTTCTCCTCCTCCTTCAAAGTTCTGCCTCTCCTGCTCGTCGAATATGCCCACCAATGATTTGGAGTGTCCGCCGCAAATTCGGCACAAATCCTCCATGATTTTATCGCTATTTATGTACACCTCATATTTGTTTTGTAGTAAACATAAGAGAAGATTAATTCTTTGTTTATTTTTGTTGTTTGTCTACGGCTCAATAGAGATGGACGTTTTTAACTTCACCTTTGTGACTTCGATGCAATCACGCTTTTTATACATATAAGCATTTTATTTATTAAATATAGATGTCCCTTGGACATCGTCCTTAGGACTAATTACCTTATTTAATTTAAATTTTTTAATATTACTAACAGTAAATTTGTTTATCCAAGTCACTGCTTTTAAAAATACCGGCTATCGATAACTGCCCGCATTTGCTTATCGCTTAATTTAAAAATGCGCGGGTTTATACATCATTAAAAATTTAAGCTTGGTTGGATTAAAGTCTTAAAAAAACATAAAAATAGGTTTATACATGGAAATAATAGTATTTATATTCATAATGTACAAACTTCTGTTTTTAATAACCATTACATTACAATTTTAACGGTTCCGTGACAGAGCCCCGCTAATTTAATACAATTTTAAACGGAAAGTTCAGTTCCTTGTTGTTATCTTTACTATAAACATGAACAGACTTACTGTGAATTTAATCTTAACTTTTGTGGTGTCCTTTGTAATATGGCAGACCTTTACGTATCATTCGATTCTAGAAAAAATATGCGGCGAAATTAGACAACAGCTCAAGAAACAGGTGAGGTGTACCCTAATTAATTTTAGTTTTTTCATATCGCTTAAGATGTTATTTTAAAAAATCAAAAGGGTTTAGTTGTCTTTTAAAGAGGGCGTAATCGTTGAATAGTTTAAAATATTTATATATAAAAATGTTGAATAGTTTATTAACCTTCAAAATAGGTCAACAGTGATCTTCGTCCCTAATATTTGTAGTTAGCTTATGGTGTGAATTTCTATATGTGGATCCGTGAATTGTCTGCGTTTTTTTGTTAACAATATACGCTGAGTCAAAAAAACCGGCTTACCTGCGAGAACACCGAAGAGAGGTGGTAAAACAGCTCTCCTCCTTTCCACTGCTGTGCTGGCCGAAATTAAGCACCGAATGTGACAAAACGGCGCTCAGTTGTTGAACTAAAATCGAATCCGACGGTCGCATAAACTTGGGCTTGGCATTCGCGAAGGCAAGCCATCGGACGAACAAACACCTTCATTCTCGCACCCCGTCGAAGGCCAATCGATTTGCGTACACAAAGCTCAAAGTGCTGGCCAGAAGATGCTCAAGTTAGCCACTGCCTTAAGCCTCCTTCTCCTGATCCTGTCCTTTGGCTGGGCAGAGCTCGAGGATGAGCATGAGTCCAGGGAAAAGCGGCAGTCGAACAAGGTTTAATCTTTTTTGGCGCTTATTTTAACAGATAATTCATATTATTCGTAATTTATAAGAACACCAATATTTATAAAGCCAGTTATTTTAATTAAATGGTTTTCAGATTGTTTTATAGTTTAGCATTTAAGCCGAACTCTCTACTTTCATTATGTAAATTTCTTTTAATCACCTTGATTGTAAAAATAAATACTAATAATATCTGCATTTTTTATGAGATCCATTTATAATTTAATTTTAATCAGATTCTTAACGGATGATTATATATATCTTTATTTATTTTGAACTTTTCTTCCAGCTCCACGTAACGCTGCTCTACGAGTCCTTGTGTCCGGACAGCAGAAACTTCATGCACCAGCTGGGACCCGTTTACGAGGAGTTCCAGGACTACCTTGACATCTTACTAGTGCCCTTTGGCAAATCCCAGTCGGAGCGGAATGGAGCCATCTTCCACTGCCAGCACGGACCGGCCGAGTGCAAGGGCAATCGCCTCCAGAGTTGCGTCATCAACAGCACCGGAAACCAGGCGGCCCAGGTGAAATTCGTGGTTTGCCAGATGCTGGCTCCGGATTACTCCCGCATCGATCAGGTAAGCGATGTTTGCCCAATCAATTGACGGGTATGGCAGCCATATAACGAATGCAAATCCCATCCGCAGTGTGCCAATGAGGCGGGCCTGCTCACCGATGTTGTCCACTGCCTGTCCAGCGAGACGGGCACCAAATTGCAGCTGCAGGCGGAGCTGGTGACCAAACAGTACAGCCCGAGCTTCATTCCCACCATCGTCTACAATGGCGTAAGTTCCCGCGATCGATCGGCCAGCAGCCGTAATCGAATGCACTTAACTGGTTTTCATTTTCGTATTCGTATTTTGTATTTTGTATTTATTTCCACTTGCAACAGGTCTTCGATCAGCAGCTGCAGGACCATTCGCTGCGCGATTTCCGCGGCACGGTTTGCTATTTGTTGCGTCAACAAAACTTGCTGCCCAGCAGCAGCACAATCTGCCAGTAGATCTGCTAAATGTTCAATGTAACTGCCTCAAGTTTGGAATGAAATTAAAATTCAGAAACTGGTTTCTTCGACCGAACAAGAATGTCTTTTGGCTGTGGCGAGAGGAATTGAATACACATGTGAAACAAAAAGGTCACAGAGAAAAACCTTAACAAAATTCTACTAAATAGGAGATTTCATTTATAAATTGCAACACACACCTTTCAGATAATAATTTATATTGGTACGTAAGATACAGTTCATCAATTACAATCGTGTAGATATATATAGTACATGCAGTGCTTAGGGCGTCTAGTTTATTTACAAGGGCGTACATTATAAATTCATTATTTTTGGATTGGGGGGCACAGTGTGATATGATGGGAAATGGGGGGAATATCGTTAGGTTTTCCTCTCGATGAACCAACAACAAATGACTTATTATCTACGTACTAATGGCTAACCTACAACTAGGATTTCAATTTCTTGCACTTTGTGTTTGCGTTTGCTGTGTTCGCTGACGGGTGTGCAGAAATAACAATTTGTAGACGGCTGTTTCCGTTGTGATTAAAGCGTTTTCCTCAGACGGCGGTGCCCGGTGCCTTGCCAGCGGCTTGTCCGCCCACCGAAGCGCCGGTGAGCGAGCGACGTGGAGCCGGCTTTGGTGGAATCTGTGGCTTTGACGGTCGCAATCTTGGCCAGAGTTACGCTGGCCTCGCTGATGAGCGGCTGCTGACCCGGTCGCTCCTTCTCCTGGAACTCCACATAGCCGCTCTCGTCGCTGTCGGAGCCCTCATCCGGATGCTCCCTGCTCTCCTGCTTGTCTAGCTCGAGTTCATCGCTGCCGGAATTGCTGCGCTTCAGCGTGATGCTGCTGGAGCTGCTGTAGTTCGTGGCATCGCCGCCGCTGTTGTTGCGCAGCTGCTGCTCCAGTCTTTGGTAGATCATCATCTGCTCCAGCACCTGCGCCTGTTCCAGCTCCAAATCCGGCGATCGATCTAGCTGGCTGGGCTCGTTTTCCCGCTTGCCGTTGAATTCCTCGTGATTGGCATTCGTGACTGTGCTGGCCGTCTCGCAGCCGCTCGATATGGATCCCTCGTCGCTGTCCGGACTGGCCAGACCCTGTTGGTTGGATCCCCCGCCCGCCGCCGCCGCCGAAGTGCTGGCCGTCGTCGAGCTCGACGCATTCGAGGAGATCGATGACTGCGCCTGGTGGCGGTACTTGAGGCTCGCCTGATCGCCCACCCTCATCTTCCGCATCGAACTGCGGTGCAGCATGGTCAGCATGGCCGCATGCCGGAAGTAATGGTCGTCCGCATCGTCCAGGAAGTCCTCCTCTCCGTCGCTGCAGACGCCACTGCGACGGGCGGCGGGCACCTCGTGATCCTCGGCATTGTAATCCGCCTCCGGATCGGCGCTGGGATCGCTGTTGATCGTGGGCAGCAGGCTCAGCGGCTCGCCGTCCTCCTCCTCCTTCAGATCGCTGAGGCTCACCATGCTCTGGCTGCTGTTCTTGTGGAGCTGCATATCGAAGTAGGGCAACAGCTCGTTGCTCAGAGTCGTGTCGAACTTCAGCAGCTTCTCAAAGTCATCCGAATCGGAGCCATCGTTGGCTGGACTGCTCACAGAAGCCATCTTCTTGGCCTTCTCCTCCTGGGGCAGCTCCTTGGCCATGTGCGAACTGCAGCAGGGCGAGGAGGACTGAATCTTGCCCGTTCGCCGAATCGAGTGACCGCGACGACAACGGCGCCTGCCCAAAGTCATCGCCGGATAGAGGGAGTCCTTCTGACAGCAGGGCATCATCTCCGGCTCATTGGTGTCCTCGATCTCGTCGCCCTCCTCCTCGCCAATGGCCTCCTCGATGGCCATCAGCTTGGGCGCCGACTTGGAGCGCTCCAGCGGCGGTCGGTAGTTGTTGCCGCCAACACTCAGCATGATCTTGCGGCGCGGCAAGCTCGGGTTGTCGTAGACGGCGTTGGCCAAACTCAGACGAGCATTTTGCTTAAGAATTTTCTCACGCTTAAATTCCCGCAAAGCGCTGTCCAGGTTTTCCTGGGGGAGTAAAAATCAACATATTAGAAATTGTTTAAATTAAATAATAATATACCAGAAAAGAATCCATGAGAGTGGGAATGAGAATCAAGCACAGAAAGCAATAAATATGCCTTTAAGAGATTGCACACCAAAGCAAGAAAAAAATCCCTTGATAAAAATAAAGTGTTTGTCATGGTTATTCCCCCGTTTTTAACTTGAAATACGGAAGCACTTGAAGATAATCTGGTTAAGTAGGAGTTCTTAGGTACATTTCATTCTCTCAGGACTCGAATCAATAGCTCAACTCACCCTCAGGGTATCGCAAATGTCCTGGGCAATCTTCTCCTTGCTGCAGAGCACCGCATGGCAGCGGAGCTCGTGCTTCAGCTTCCTGCCCTCGTGGCGATAGATCCAGCAGAAGACCCGCGGATAGTTCTTCGGTGCGCAGCAGTAGGTGATCCTATGGGCCCAGTACTCCGTAAGGCCGTGCTGCCGGGTGGTGGCCTTCAGCCCGGAGGCACACACCTTCAGTCGCATGATCACGTCCGGCTTGGAGTGCTGGGTGTAGTTACGCCACAGGGTGTTCAGCTGCTTTTCCACACAACCCTCACCTGCTAAAGTTGCAGAACATTAGTATGGTTTTTATTAAGAAATAAATAGATAGACTCACCCTTGGCCCAGCCGGTTAGGACATTCCCCAGGTAGGACACCTTGAACTCCGGATCCGGTGTGCTGATATCCACGCTGTGCGTGCGCCTCCAGAGTTTTCCCAAGCTCCTCGTTAACGTGCGAATGGCCTTGGAGCTGAGTTGATCGTGCTGAACGTCATGACCGCCAGTGCGACCCACATGCTCTTGCCGGCTGCCGTAGAGCAGATCCCGCGAATCCGTGGTTAGGGTTATGACATTCGTCACCCTCACCGTGTCATCCTCGCCGGCCACATCGCCATCCTCCTTGGACACCCGCTTGAAACGCTCCAGATAGGGACCCCCTCGACCACGCCTCCCGCTGTACGTGTTGAACTTGCCGCCCTCCGAACCGCCGGACGAGGCCAGACGCTTCTGCTCCTGCTTCTCGAACTTCTTGGCATTGTACGTGTTGCCCAGCAACCTGGCCAAGCTGTTGCTCTTCACGAACTTGTGCTGTCGCGGCGGTGTTCCAATGGGCACCGGCGGCAGGGGAGCAGCAGGAGATGAGGCATTATCCTTCTCCTGGCTATCTTGTGACTTGCTCTGACTCAGCTTCTTGCTGCTGCTGCTGCTGCCGAAATGAAAGAGGGTGCGACGCTCCTTGGCCTTTTTCAGGGTGTTGCTGTTTGGTTCGTTGTTTGGTGTTGCTGTTGTTGCTGCTGATGTTGCTGCTGCTGGTGTTGCTGCTGCCGCTGCTGTTGCTTTGGTGTTTATCACCGCTTGACTCACGCCACCTAAATCCTCATAATCGTTGTTATTGTTGTGCGTGGTCTTTATAAAGTCAACCTCATCACAACCCTCGGAATGATGCTCCATTGGGGATTTGGTGTTGCTGTTGCTGGCTGCCATTCTGGTTGGTGTTGCTGATGTAACCAATCAATATCCCTCGGTTAAGAGCATGTTACAGAAGATCTGCAAGAGGAAAAAGGAGATAAGTCAATATAATTAGCATTAATCAATTAGGAAATACAAAAAAGGCAGAAATTGGACACTTTAAAACTTAATCACTTAATAATTCCTTTTGGGGAACCACATTTGGCAATATTAGCAAGTAACTGAATTAGCACTTAAATAAAAAACAAATCAACAGGGGAAAATTACTTAATTTTCATTTTTGTAATAAGTGTGATGCAATAAACAAAATAAATTTTAATTGAATGATTCAAATGCCTCATATCTCCAAAGTTATATCTGTGGTTTTACTCATTTATTTATTTAAAATGACTCTTTAATATTGTTTTACAAATTCTGTACAAAACCCTAAAAAATGTTTTATGCTTCGAAATTAACACACTTTTATGAATGAATGTTAGGGATCTAAATTTGACATTAAAGCCACACTTTCTCCCATCATCGGGCACAATTTACCACAAATTCACACCCGATTTCGAGTGTATTTTTCCGCAACTGCGGCCAAAAAGTGTCAACTGACTAATAAATTACCCATGATTAACACTCAGCCACAGCTGTAAAATGTTTTTTCCTTTCTGTATCGCGTTTTTTTCGCACAGCTTACAGTATGCAAATGTTTACGGTATTATAATTACTATTTTTTCTAGTTTTTTGCACTGTTTTTCTGTTTTTCTGTTGGAAAATGCCACACGGCGTTTGCCTTTGTGCATTTAACATTTTCACATTATTTAGATAGCGAATTGTTTGCTAAAAAGCCAGTTAAAGATGCAACTATCAAGAGTCATTAAGTGCGGAATATTAAATGCCAGAAAAGCACTTAGACGGCGCAATTATATTATTACCTGGCTATATTTAGTCGCCGGTGAGTAGCGTAATTAAAACACAATAAAGTTGGGCAAACACCTCTGTTTCGACGGAACTAAACCCTCGCGAAGGTCCAATTTTGCAGCCTAATCACTCACGTACCTGGCCGATCGGCGATTAAAAGTCTAGGTAACTAGTAACCAGCTAAACACCTCCAAGATCCATCACTTTCGAGTTGGTCTAATCGCGTCGAGCTGCTTTAACCAACTGCAGGCGCGTTCTACCCATAGGTTATCTAATCGCGTTTGCTATTTTGCGGTTCTGATTTTTATGACCAACTATAAAGCTGCAGACAGTCGTGCTCGTGATTTAGAAATATAAATATTAAGCTGTTCTGCGGAATGGAATTTATGGTAATTTACGGCCACCAAGTGGCAAGCAATTGCCAGGCGCAGCGAATTCATAGGAAGTCGATTTGAAATATGTCTGTATGACCAACATCGCGATATGGATACCAGCTAAGCAAACTGTGGCCCAGCCTCTCGGCCTCGGACAAAAGGCAATTGGTCAGGTCTATGGCCATATCATTAGACGTTTTTCTATGCAATGACCTTGGCTGTCTGCAGGTGTCTTTGGGGAGTCGATAAAGTCGCTGGCTTTCACTTTTCCGCTTCTTCGACTCGGACGGACGCCCCTTTATGTTTTGTTCGTTTGGTAATGGTAATGCAAATGTCAACCCAAGAGCCATTCATGGATGCCAAACGAATGTGAGAAAGCCCAGTAGTCTCAACCATCCACCATCCACCCGCTACCATCTCAAGCGATCCCTTGGGGCAATGACATGGGCAACTCCATCGTCATTCGTTTTCTCCGCCTTGTAAAGAAAGCGCGCTGAATTTGTATGAAAGGGTAAACAGAGAAATATTTAAAAATAAAAAAAACTAAATAATTGTTTTGTACCGGCCCTGCCCTGCCCCACCCATTATCATTTATGCTTCTCCCTCCACTTTTGAATGGTCTTTCCCCTTTGTCCATAATTGCAAGCCTCGTATTGTGCGTGAGCGCGCATTTTAAACACCTCGCAACAAACTCACATTAAATGAAATACGAAAATTAAATACAACAAAAAATCATACCATAGCTATAAGAAAAAAATACGACAAAAAAGTAATGCAAAAAGCGTAATGAGGAAGTGTTTGCCATGTGGACAGTTTCGGTTTGGTGTGCAAAATGTTAATATCCCACCACGGACACCAGGAGCGGTTTGCAGACCCTCGAGGGGGAAGGCCTTTCGATGAGGGAGAAATTTAACAACTTCCTCTATAAGCGATGTGATTAGTGGCGAAGAACTTTTTGTCTGCTCAATAAATATTTAATGACATGAAAGTGACACTGTAATTTGCTGCCATCATTAATTAAAACTTTTACTTAATGCAAACAACACACATTCGCGTGTATTTCTGCTACTCTTCCCTTGGTAACAACATCTGTTGCGTTTTTGATTGATCATCGTATCTTATAATTAGGTAAACGCTTTTAATTTATTTATTTGATATATCTATTTCGGTTTTCAGCCATTTTTTGCTTCGAGTTCTTTTGTCCGGTCTGAATGGAAGACAATGTCTGGGAGAGAAACTGCCCAGTCATTTATCAAAATGTATTTTTAAGCATTTTGAATTCTTTTTTCTTTGGTTTTTGGCTGTTAACAGCTAAATTTGCGTTCGTTTCCCAAACGAGAGCTGGGATCAGTGTTTCCCAGGCTGCTTAAAATGCAAAAGCCACAGAAACAACATCAAAGTTATTTGTTTGGAGACCAAACACTTGAAAGTTCTCAATAGGCCAGGCCGCGGAGTTGTATAGAAAATGCAATTTATTATTGTTAAGAACTCAACGGGACGGGGGACCGCAGAGAGATACAGTGAAGCCTCTTTCAGGTGTATTTATTGTAATCTCAACACACAGAAAATAACTCGTCTCGGTCAAATCGATATGCGCATGGTAAACTTCTGGTTTTGGCCGAAATCTCTCTCTCAATGAGGCGACCTAAATTATGATTACAAATCACTGGTTTTATTTACAGAAGTTCCACTTTAATTGAATACCTTTGCTCGGGGACTCAGGTGCAACGATTGGTGGTTGCTGGCGGCTTGTCTAGCATAAACTGTGTCAACTGCAAGTTTGAAAAGTTGATTCTTATGTTTACTTTAGTGTGGGCCCACTCGCACATAAATATCAATTTAGCCCTGGTCCTCTGTGTGTGGTTTTCCAGCCCCCCTGCTAATCCCCCTCCACCCTCCAATGTCAGGTTAAATAAATCGTAAATTCAGAATTCGCCGCTGAGATCTTAGGCTCTTGCAGTCTTGGCTCAAGCACACAAGAATGTCTCAAAATAAATACGAAAAAAGTGACTCGCAACTAAATTAAACAGTTTCGCAATTCGTATTCGTCAGTTATTTGTATTCCTTTTTTTTGGGCATGTGTGTCATGTGCGGTTGTCGCCTACCAAATTGCTCGAGGAGATCGGGGCAATTCGGAGGAGTCATATAGAGAGTACGTTGAAGGAAACCTTTCTGACGTCTCTGTACGTGCGAACGCATTGGAATGCATTTAATTAAACAAATGAATAAACCATAATGTATGGCATAAATTTGTATAGAACAGTATTCTCGATAATTGATTGGCAACACACACCTCAGAATGAGACAAAACCGGGTTTAAGCCAGCATCGATATTGTTATTATTCAGTTAGCCGGACGGGGAAGATTAACGAGGGGTAATCACAACTTAAATCTATACGAGAAACGCGGGAAAATCACATTCTTGCAGGTAAATAGAAAAATTAAGATTGCTCGAAAATCAAAAGTGAAAATATGTACACCCAGAAAAAAAAAAAAAAAAAAAAAAAAAAAAATTTTATATATAACAACTTTTTTTTTTTTTTTTTTTTTTTTAAAAATTTTTTTTTAAAAAAAAAAAAAAATAATTATTAAAAAAAAAAAAAAAAATATTTAAATTAAAATTAAAAACCCCCGAAAAACGGGGGGAGGGGGCCTTTGTTAAAAGGTTTTTTTTTTTATGGGAAAAGGCCCAAAAAAAAAAAAAAAAAAAAAAAAAAAAAAAAAAAAAAATATTAAAAAAAAATAAAAAAAAAATTTTAAAAAAAAAAAAAAAAAAAAAAAAAAATTAAAAAAAAAAATTTTTAATTTAAAAAAAAAAAAAAAAAAATTTTTTTATAAAAAAAAAAAAAAAAAAAAAAAAAAAAAAAAAAAAAAAAAAAAAAAACAAACCCCCCCCCTCCTTCCTTCCTTTTTTTTTTTTTTTTTTTATTAAAAAAAAAAAAAAAAAAAAATAAAAAAAATATATTTAAAAAAAAAAAAAAAAAAAAAAAATAAAAAAAAAATTAAAAAAAAAAAAAAAAAAAAAAAAAAAAAAAAAAAAAAAAAAAAAAAAAAAAAAAAAAAAAAAAAAAAAAAAAAAAAAAAAAAAATGTAATCTTCTTATCTGTAAATTATTAAGATATTTTGTTATAATTTTAATAATATTCCAAGTGAATCAATTACTAAACATCTGAATGCTAATTAGCTAAGATATAAATATTTATTTCTTTGAGATATTATGTGCCTTGAATTTATCATAAAATATACGGGCTGACAAATGATTTTCTAAGAATTTTTTATTCGCATAATACCAACATTAAAAAACAATCATACAAGCCCATCTATTCGGATTACATATCCCCAGCTCCACAACCTTCCGTCACCAACTTATTTTGGAAACAAATTAAAAATTCAGTTCTCATCCCAAAGCGAAACAAAGGAACAAATGACATTGACTTTTGCTTGCCTTTTCATTTCTTTTCTTCTTTACTGGTGATAAAGAAAAATTCACTTGAATTCGGTATTAAAGCTCAAACATCTTAGCTGGCAATTAATAGTGTAAAAACCCCCACAATTTGCTTTAATTTTGTTTATAGACAGATAATAAAGTAAATTATCCCATAAAAAAGGCAGCAGCAACAATGTGTGCAGAAAGAACAAAAAGTTGGAGAAAAATGATACTGCGTCAGAAAAAAAGATATATATGTTTTAGAGTCGGGCATCAGAAGTTCACAAGATTTACGAGAGTATGTTTCGGTTTAATGGGGTCTACAAATGGGGGAGCAGAGGGGCCCCAACTTTAATGGGGGCTCAAAAGTT